GGCAAGAAGGAGGAGAAGGATGGGAAAGAGAATGTTTATCCAGTACCCGACCGAGTTACATTTTCTCGCAATTCACATTGGCGGATCTGGGGGGAGGGGATCATGGGTCCTGACCCCTCCCTTGGGCAACAAAAAAAGGGGAAAAAGAAAGAATTCTAGACCTACCTTTTCAGGACCCGTGAGCTGATTTTTTTTTTTTTTTTTTTTTTTNNNTTGTTGCTATTAGAAAATTAGAATTTTGAAGAACATAAAATTCATAAAACACACTTCAAATGTCGGGAAAGCTCAATTCCCGCCATCTAGGAATTAAAATTTTCCCGGGGGAGAACCCCCGGACCACCCTTTCTTTTTGGGATTTATCGATTCATGGAAAAAAGAATACGCATGCAACTACTCATTTGTTTATGTATGTATATACACAAAAATAAAAAATGAGAAAAATTTACCTGACCTTTTTAAAGAGGGGAAAACCTTAAATTTTAAAACCTTGAACTTTAAAAGTCATTAAAAGACATTTCAGAAGTCAGGTAAGCTCATCTCCCGCCATCTAGAAATCGAATTTTTTCCGGGGAACCCGGACCCCTTATCTTTGGAGTTCATTGATTAATTGAATCATTTTCAAGGTGGCGGGGGGGGGGGACCTTGAATTTTGAAGAATTTAAAAGTCATTAAAAGACACCACAGAAGTCGGAAAAGCTCATTTCCCGCCACCTAGGAATCAAAATTTTCCCGGGGAAGAACCACAGGACCGCCCCCAACCCTCACCTTTCTTTTTGGGATTTATCGATTCATGGAAAAACTACGTATGCAACTTACTCAATCTTTTTTTATGTATGTATACACACATAAGGCCTATTTACTGTAATAACAATGGGAAAAGGGAAAAAATTATCTGACCGTTTTCAAGAGTGGAAAACCTTGAATTTTGAAGAAATTAATTACTTTTAAGTTCTTCAGAATTCAAGGTGTTCCCCTCTTGAAAAGTATTATAATGAAAAAATGAACCCAGGGAAAGGGATGTTCGAGTTCTTCCCGGGAAAATGTTGATTTCTAAATGGTGGACAATGAGATTTCCCGACTTCTGAAGTATTTTTTAATGACTTTAATTTAAAAGACACCTCAGAAGTCGGGAAAGCTCCGCATTTCCCGCCTTCTAGGAATCAAAATTTTCCTGGGGAAGAACCCCCGGACCCCCCCTTTCTTTTTGGGATTCATCGATTCATGGAAACTTCGTATGCAACTACTCATTTTTTAAAAATTGTTATGTATGTATACACATAAGCCCTATTTACTGTAATAACAATGGGAAAATATTACCAGACCGTTTTCAAGATGGGAAAACCTTGAATTTTGAAGCACATAAAAGTAATTAAAAGACACCTCAGAAGTCGGGAAAGCTCATTTCCCGCCATCTAGAAATCGAAATTTTCCCTGGGGAGGAATGCTGACCCCCACCACCTAGATTTGATTCCAGATCTGCATGATTCATATTCCCATTCATCTTATAAACAGTGGCGTAACAGGCGGGGCAAGGGGGAAGACTGTCCCCCCCCCCCACTGACGGTTTTTACCGGGCTGACCAAGCCGTCGTACCGGGCTGGGTAGGAAGAGAAAAGAAAGAGGGGAGAGGGAGGGAAAGAGAAAGATGGGGAAAGAAAGAGAAACGAAAAAGGGAAAGAGAAGAGAAAAATAAAGACAAGAATAAAAAGGAAGATATAATGAACAGATATCACAATACCCCTGCCTGCAATCCATTCTCCACTTCAAAAAGTGTCCATAGCGCATTGATCTCAGCCGCCAGGTATTCTCCGCAGTGGCGTAATCACCGGGGGACAAGGGAAAAATATCCATCTGTGGAAAGTCTTTCCCAATTGAATGCCCTTTTTACCCGGGAAAGTGCCTGAAAATCTCATATTTTGTTGAGGTAGGCCAATTTCCTCTAAAAATTGCACATTTTAGGGAGTTTTGATCAATTCCGATTTTTTACCTAAAAGAAGGGCCTCAATGTGTAATGATGTTGAAAGAATATGTTTGTAATAAATAAAGCCATAAGGAAAATGCTTATATTCAGTTAAAAAAAAAAAAACGAGTGTGGCCATATATAACTTAAGAGCGTTTCTTGTTGAGGTAGGCCAATTTCCTCTAAAAATTGCACAATTAGGGAGTTTTGATCAATTCCGACGAAATTAGAATTAAAAACACAAAACACAAAAATTTTTCAAGGTGGGGAAAACAGAGTCACAGTGCAAAACATTGGTGGCAATGCAAAACTCCAATGACAGTGCAATTCAAGTGGACGCGACACTGAAAATTGCAAGTCACATTTAAAAAAAAATTATCGGTCATATCGATCTTATTTTTGCAACCAGAAAATGCAATTTTAATCCTTCGCGCTGAGGCTTGATTTCGTTATCAGCTACACATGAGTCATTCTTGGAATATTACAATTTACTGCGGGGAACAGAGAACTATGTACTCATGAATAATATCTTACCAGCAGCAAAGACGGGCAGCTTTAGTGACCATATTGATAGCGTTTAAAGTCTAACAAAATATTATACATAAGCAAATTATAAAAAAAAAGCCTAACCAATCACAAATCTTCCTACTGACATCAACACTGCTATAGAATGTTATTAATAAACTGTTACCCTGTTTAGAAATTGGTACGATCCATCTCAATCAACGCCAACGGTGTACAGATGCTGCGACACCAACACATTTTAAGCATGAAATTTAGGCGTGGTATATAATAGCAACATTTCGAAAAATAATTCATTAGAATTCTTCTATGATCATTATTAAGCACCAAGATACAAATATTTAATGAAATACTTTAATGAATTATTCGATATTCAGACAATATCTACATTGATCTTATGATCAACATGGCACAGCGGGAGGCATATAAATAGGCCTATACATTAATTAAATTTAAGCAGTAAAATTGAATTTAAATTCAAAGCCAAATCAACCAATCAATTAATTAATTAATCAAAATGAATTAGCCAATTAATCAAATAATTATTTCTCAATTAATTATTCATCAATAAATCACTTAACTAATCATTAAATCGATTCTATGCGATTCTTAAATCAAAATCTATACAATACAAACGAAAAATGTATTATCAAAACACAAAATAAGTATATTAAATATTAAAATATACAATAACAATTATATAGTTATGTAATGTAATTTCATAATTACATTAATACAAAATTCAGGTTAACACCAACTCCTGATATTGCCTTTATAGTTCATTTATCTTTACATACACATAAATATAGATTTTAAAACATAATGCCTGTTAAATTTATCATAGAAGCCTCGATTGTTGAATATAGCTATCAAAGGAGTAATTATAACGGAAGAAAATTAAATTCATGGAAAAGTGGATCCGGGAATGTTGTGAAAGAGCCATTGCTAGAACGGTCAATCAGACTTAGTAAGCCGCTGTGCTAGATATTCACTTCAGCCTGAAAGAAAAGAGTATAGAGATCCGACTGCAGGCAGGGAACAGTAATACTTTTTGCTGAAAGTCTAATAATATCATTAGACGTTGGTGGCGGTATACAGCGTGAAGAAAAGAACGCATTTTACCATTTTCCCGGTGGTTATAAATGTACGAAGATATTTAGTTGTTGAATAGCGTGTAAGAACTCGATATTTGAATTTTTTGACTATTAGATATTTAGAATTAAATTTACAGCATGGTTATCGATCATTCATTTTAATATTGCTTAGGGCCAGGACAAGTTATTCAAGTTTAGCCTAGGCTAGGTGCAGATAAGCTTGCTTTCAATAATTGTACTGTGGCCTTCAGCGGCAGTTAGGGCCCTGTGGTGCAAAACAAAGTTGTCCAACCCGGGCCTAGCCTAGAAATTTAGGAAGAAACTGGTGTGTTCTGTTTATATTGATTTAGGTGCTAATGCACTTTAGTATTCTACCCTAACCTTAACAATAACATAAACATAGTGAAACTGGAGTTACGGTTAAAGTTAGGTTAGGGTGGAGGAGATAACAGTAGTACAGTACATACAATTGAATTTAAAGAAAAAAGAATAAAAGATGAAAATTAAACTAAACCCTTAAATTAACAAATTAAGTAAATTGAAACAGAAAAATTATGTAAAATCAGAAAATGTTTAAAAAACAATGAGTTAAAGAAAACATCGAAAATAATAATTTAACACATTAAAGAAACTGAAATTATAAATTAACTTAGAAAATTAAAGGGCACATTAGGCCAAAAAAAAAGAAGAAAAAAAATGTGCCTATTTTCTGAAATATGTGGATGAATTTCTTGGCCTAATTTTTGCACAAAGGATACAGTATCATCTGCGCAGGCCTTCTGGCAGTTTGGGGTTAGGCCTGATACCCAATTAGTCAGTATATGCTTGTGCTTTCAGGACCTTGTGGAAACTTCCTTGAGAATGGAATCATTCAGTCAGCCTACAGTCAATGATCCTCTGACAGAAGACTTCTCCCAGGATGTCCAAATGTTTGATCCGTCAGCAGAGAATGAGGTCCAGAAAAAAATGAAAGAGGAACAGTCACAACCATCACAGATGGACGCAGATGCTGCCAAAGCAGCTACAGATTCCACACCAGAAGTGAAAGTTACGGAAGTGAAATGCTCCTTATGCCAGTGCCGCCTTGAGTCCTTGCTCTGTGCCAGGGATCACTATGAAGGCCGGCGGCACCAGAAGAACTTTATGGCAGCCATCAAGGCCAAACATGGTGAGTTCTTATTCTTCAGAATCCTTGAAGATTCATATCATTTTTGTGGCACTACATTCTTCTTTCATTATCATCGAATAGTTTCTGGTCAGGGTCACACCTTCTTTTATACCATTTTGTGCCACTTTTTTTTGTCCTCATGGATGGTGCGTATCGATTATAATGTATTGTCCTCAGTGGAAGGTCCATTTTAATTTGTCTCATCCACCTCAGTTTAGCTTAAAAATGCCCATTTTCTGTTAAAAAGTAAACATCCTGTCAGCCATTCCGTCATTGGCTTTGATACAGCGCATAACCTCATAGTGAAGCTGTTCATTTGGCTTCCAATCCAGTGACCATATGAATGGGAGTACCAAATAGTTGAAATTTGCTAATGACAATTATGTGTATATACTGTACTGTATATAAAATTGTATTGATTGATTTTGAAAACAAGTTGGTTCTACAGTACAGTATGCACTTTTATTTACATGCCCTCTCTTTTGCAATACAGTATATTTTGTCTTATGTGTCATGTTTAAGTCATATTCTAACCACATTCTATTTAATTAGATTCACAGGCTTTGGTTTGAATGTCATAGACTCTCCCTGGATTCCATTTCTTTTTGTTTTTTGAAACTCTTTCTTCATAGTTATTTTAATACATTTACTATTGAATATAAAACACTCGGAAAGAAACAACAGAGTTCAAAAAGATATAAATCAATAACATTATGAAGAAGGCCTTACAGTATTTCATATTGCATCCATATACAATACATAAAAGACCCAGCCACTGCTAGATACACTTATTAGCCTTGGAGTTGTAATGGTGAGATCTGTAATAAGACCTGACTCCCAACACACACAAACACACACACATGACACACACACACACACACTCACAAAAACCCTACTCCCAACCAAGGAGACCATCTCAACATTTATGAGAAGCCCTATTATCTATACATTTATGAACCTATACTTATACCTATACTGTAGGAGCACTTTAATTAGTACCTCAATCCTATATTATCAGGAATCCATATGCAACTATTATGAGAATTCCTATCCTAATCTTGTAAGAGTGCTTTGCTCTAAGGAATTCCTGCCCTACAATTCTAAGGGTCCCTCACCATAACCACATTGATGATCCTCTACATCACACATATAAGCAACCCCATTCCCAATGTTTCCTATGCTAAGATTTCATTTAGTTTTAGAAGCAAAACACTAAACACAAAACTAACATCCAAAAATTTAAAATTATAAGCTTCCAAACAGGACTGTAAATTGAATTTCTTCAACAGAACTTTTCACTGCAATAGCTGCTGGGCAAAAGCCATTACTTGTACCAAAGGTAGCTAAAAAGACGAAAGATGACGGTACGGGTGAGGGGAATGCAACGGATGGTCTCGCTAATGCTGAAGACCATGTTTCCAATGTTGCAGAGGATCCTGAAAAGGGGCCGAAAGGGAGCACAAAGGAGGAGCATGATGGCGACCAGGAGGGTGTGCTCATGTACTGCTTTGTGTGCGATATACAAGTGAATTCCAATGACCAAGCTCTCCAGCATTATACTGGTCGAAAACACAAGTACAGGAGCTCACTGGTGGCATCATTACCCAGTGCTTCAGATGTCTCTGGTAAGTCTTTGATTACATCTAAAATATAAATCATTTCATAATCTTCATCATCAGCAAGTCACACAAAGTAGGTAGTAAACACATACAATAGGACATGAATGTTTTATCTCAATGGGAACCCCTTTAGAAGTTATTAAGTTATCTATTGCTTTCTCCCTGTATTTTATTTGGAATTATTATTATTATACTGTGTTGCTTTTTTTAGTATAATTTTTTTCTCAAATAAATGCACACTCGACCACTGTCTGTGCACAACTATTGTCTGTACTAGTATTGAGTCAGTTGTTAAGATATTAGGATGCTTGCCTTGCAATCTTAGGGTCTGTGTTTTAAATTCTGTGAGATACAAGGATCTTTTTAAAAAAAATTCAAAACAACACCACTATATATTGTAAAGAGATTTTAAAGCATCATAGTTTTTACGAAATGTCTCTGAATATCAGTTGACCTACGCTAAGTTGAAAGGGTCAGAAATCTATAAATTTCACATATTATGAGTGATATTATTATTATTTTTTTTTTTTGGCAGAAACCAATTTAAAAAGAAAGTCTCAGGTGCTAGCGAGTTCTGAACAACAGAAGGCAGATGGGGAGAACAAACCGCCTGTTGTTAAGAAGTCGGGGGGCCCTAAGGCTCAGCCAAAACCAAAAGCTACCACTCCACAGCAGACATTCAGCTGCACAAGTTGTGGTGTGAACGTGACCAGCAAGGACATGCTTGACGCCCATCTTGCTGGTAGGTGTATTGAGAAATAATTTGGTGTAAATAAGAGTTTAAATACTGCCCTCTGTAATTTGTAATATGACATAATATATTACACAGTACATATAAACCATGTATAATATCCACCATTCACAACCATTAACATTACAAGTGTATAGGTGTAAAATAGATATCTGTTTTGAGTTGCATGGTTAAACTGTAGAATTTGGAGATCTCAACTTTAATATTTAGTAGAGGGTTCTATATAGTACAGACACAGAATCACAGATGAGGTATAGTAGTTTCAATCATGACCCTAAAAATAGCAGTCAGTATTTTTTGTTTTGTTTTACTCTATCCATAGATTAAACAACAAATTACCATATTCATAGATTAAACAACAAATGTAGTGTTTACTTCCATTTCACTGTTTTTAAAGTTATGCTGGTCATGTAGAAACTCACTGTCTATAACTATTCAGTATAAGGAGTAATTACTGTATGAAACAAATAATTTGCAAGATGAAATAAATATGCCTTGGGCATAGTTTGCAGTGATTGCCCAAGGTTTGATTCATATGTAATGCATTTTTAAAAATAATATCAGGAAATAGGAAAATCCAAATCAGTCACTTGTCGCAAATCCTGTTTCAGAGATAATGGCCAAAACATGCTGGAATCTCAAAATTTTTGAAATCTATTTTATTGCACTAAACTAACCTTTGTATATCTATATATCATGGTATGGTGTTATTTTCCTCATTTTCAATGTTAAAACAACAATTTTTAATGATTTGATGATGGTTTCTGCTTCAGAAATGCCCAAAATTATTAACTTTGAAGGCTGATCTCTCAAATATTGTTCTTTAAACAGCTGTATGTGTAAACTCCTGTAACTTCATAACGAAATGTCAGATTTGAATGATTCTTTTACCAATTTTTATAGCTCTCATTTTACTGTTTAACCCGGTATTATTAACTAAAATTTGATTTTTGCGACGAGTGACTGGTCTGGTCTTTGCCACATATAATTAGTGCATATGCTGAAGTTTATTTGGTACTTAGGTATACTATAGAAAAGGGCAGAAAACAGTACAAGAAATCTCAATAGATATACTTCTGATTTAAGATGTGGAAACAAGATCACAAGACTGTTACATGACTCACAAGATTGTCACAAACTGTCACATGACTCACAAAAGAGTGTCACATGACTGACAGATGACTCACTAGACTGTGTGACAATATAAGTTTTGATTCAATTTTTTAACCAGGCTCCAAACACAGGAAGACCATGGCAAGACTAGGGGGAATTGGCATCCCTGCCCCTTCGAAAAAGACTCCAAAGGCAGCGATGACTGCTACGGGGAACGGCAAGACTGCCAACACAAGCAGCAATAATGCTGGGACGCCCTCAACCGTTCTTTGCATAACGTGTGATGTCTGTAGTGTTACGATGAATTCACAGACACAGTATGAACAAGTATGTAAAAATTATCTTGCGTAATTACCATATTTTACCGAGTATAAGCCAATATTCAAGTATAAGCCCACCCCCTCTAGTTTAGGCTTGATTTTGGTTTCTAACCTTCATCCGAGTGCAAGACCTGGGATTGGGTATGTGAAACAGTCGCAATTCATCACCCCTACCCCACCCTCACATTGCCATTCCATTATATGTTTCTGTTAAATTAATTATCATGTACTTTTAAAGTTATTTAAAAACGGCAACATAATTTATATAACTGAATCTGTCCACAGTGACAAGTGTTGTGTAACAAATGCATTGGTATGTCCATATATGGGTGTGATATGACATCATCATGCCCGTATATGGGAAAAATCACAGATATTTGTCACTGAAATTGGATGCTTATAGAGCATTAGACTTCATGTCTTAACTAATGTTGTCTTTAATTTTGTAGCATTTACAAAGTCAAAAACATAAGAACAGACTGAATGGAGTAGGGACTACTCATGTACCATACCAGAACAAAGGTGCATTTGGTGGTTTAGCCGGTATGAGCAATTATCGTAAAGGTACGCGCAAGTTCCAGCAATTCGGCTACAAGAAGTTCGTCAAGGGCGGGACTGCCAACCAGAATCACAACTGGTCAAGGGGTTCGATAAACCCACCGCTGCCACCACCACCACCACAATCTGATGTTCAAGACTGGAACAACTCCCAGTGGGCGGGGCCAGGTATGGGAATGCTGCAAGGAGCTACACCGTTGGTCCCTCCTCCTGACTTCCCACAAACTGAAGGCTACGGATATCAATACGAAACAGGACGGCCTGGGCAGCAAGGGACGCCGCGTTTTGGACGCCCGGATTTGAAACCAAAAGGTCAAAATGCTTATCCACAACCACCACCTTATATGGTAATTTAAAATAATTTATTATTGCATTATGATGATTTTATTATTATTATTATTTTTTAGTGTCTATTAACAAACTTCAAAATGTGGACCTGTAACTTTGTACTTAAGTAAAGCTTCATTTACACTCACATTTCTATAACAAATACCTGTGAATTGCTTATATATGGGTGTGATATGACATCATCCTATCCATGTATAGTTGTGGTAGTCATCATCATGCACTAATCACAGATAATTTTCACATAAAACTTGGTAATGTGACTTGCTTATATGGGTGTGATATGACTTCATCCTATCCATGTATAGTAGTTGTGGTAGTCATCATCATGCACATGTATGGACAAATCACAGATAATTTTCACATAAAACTTGGTAATGTGACTTGCTTATATATGGGTGTGATATGACATCATCCTATCTATGTATGTCTCTCCAATATAGACTTTATTTCATGGGTGTGATGGTTTATTCTTGTGTGTGTGTAGTATCCCCTGAAGTTAGGAGCACTATGGTAAACTTTGACGTTGACCAAGTTCAGAATCCACTGGATTCGATGTGAGCCTATATAAGGCAAAGCTTCCATCTCCAGTGGTTCTGGTTGGACTGGTCTGATGGTTGGTGGGTTAGTGTTGAGCTTATAGTGGTGTTGGTATTATTATTATTTTTATTGTTGATGTTTTGTAATAACTGAAGCAAATTCTTGTTTTTCAGACTTACACTACTGATGAAAACTACCATAGTTTGTGAAGAGAGATGAAAGCAGTACAGTAATAGGTAAACTAAGGCCCCTTTTTGTGCTCTTGTACTAGATTGCAACAATGCATATACTTTTACGCAGGCAGCTAGTGCTAGTTTCCCTAAAATGGTATAATTCATCTACCGTTGATTAGTTAATTTATGTGTATTTGTACACCATATTTGACTCTCAAACTTGAATCCTCTATCATGAATAGTTATTTTATGCGAATATTTGTAGATAATTTTTACGGCATCTGAATCCGGATTTGTGAGTGTAAAACCTGTGTATGTGGTACCACCACCTCAGAAATAATTGGAATGAATCAGTAGATACCGTAGTCAGTGGATCTGAAGACAATGCAAATTACCACATTTATGTATAAATCTAGTTTTTTATACTCTAATGTATGTACAACTACGTACAGACCTAAATCTTTATTAATTTTTGTGTCAAGTTCTATTGACTTTCCATTACTCGTCCTGGACAACTAGTACCAGTGATCACTTTTCCAATTTATCTTATGTTGAGAAGACAGAGTAGGTGCTGTTATAAATTATCATTGTACATATGGTCTACTACCAGTGATGCAAAAAATATTACCAGTGATAAATTTGTCTTGATACATATTTCCATATATTATATAATGGTATGGTTTTATCATTGCTTCATGTCTAGCCAATGTATATAAAATTGTTTTGTAATATTTTAGTATACAGTAAGAACTTTAAAAATTCAAGATGTAATGTCACAGTTTATGATTTTTTCCAGTTTTATAGGCTTCTAATTACCCCGTCCTAGATTTAATAGTCCATAGTAATGTGTCTGTAACATAAATTAATCAGTACAGTATTATGTTATAATGGTTTTGTTTTTTCATATCTATAAACAGATAGTTGTTTCTTTCCTACATGACCAATTGCCTTCAATCAAAGCCATATTGCTGTAAAATCTCAAACACTATAATTTCATACAATAGACTCAGTTAAGTTATGTATACATTTATTTAAGGCATTAAAATGTTTTGTAGTTTTTAAAAGCGCAGTGATATTCTTTTTACATTAACGTATTCATTGCGTTATACATTTAATGCAATAGCGCCCTCTAGAAATTCGACAAACACTCAAAGATGGCCATCAGGGTTAAGATTAAAATGTAAAAATAAGATGTAAATAAAATTGATGGCATAATGCTTAATGATCAATTAAACTATAGGAAGAGACTGTTGGAGTACGTTCTACAAGAGAGTAAGTCAGGGGTTGTACTGTGCCTGTAGTAAGATGTAGCAACTTGGTATGAATACATACTATTATAAATGATTTGTGCCTGTCGTCAGGATGCCTGTGGTGTTGGTACACTGTATATAATGGACATTTTCGAGTGTCAATCAAATTTAACACCTAACCAATCAGAATGGTATGCACACTATAAATGATTTGCATATATGTAGTACAGTATACAGTGTATTTACTTGTTTGCCATATGTTATGAACAGTGCTGTTCTTGGTGATATTACAGGTAAAATCAGTTTTTTAATTTGTATGGTAATTTTTTGATTAATGGTACGAAAGAAATGTTAAGTTAATTTGTAGTAATTTATATTTTAGCCTCTTCATTTCTTGATTTTATTCAAGATTTATGAAAGACAGAATTATGGAAAGTATTTTCTTTTAAATTGTACTCCCATATGTTTTGCATATGTTGATGTTCGCTGAAAATGTCTTTGATGTTGTGTTTATACTGTACACTATTTTAATAGGTTTTAAAGATAAATAACTAAGTTATCATCTATTGTGTTACCATCTACGTTTAATTCATACAAGCCTGGTTCTCACGAGAGCCCTAGTATCCGGATCGAGAGCTAACCGTTAGCGCTAACCGTTACCACCTGCGTGAGAACGCCAGATCGGTTAGCGCTAACCGTTAGCAGTATCCGGATACCGCTAACGGTTAGCAAGCGCTATCATCAACCAATCACATGTACGCGTTTACAATTTCCAGTTTCTTATTGGCCAGTGATTCGATGATCATATATTTGGTATCCGGATCGGGATTTTCTCGAATGGACGCACGGCAGCTAACGGTTAGCAGGATCCGGATCCTGCTAACCGTTAGCAGCCGTGTGAGAACATAGCCAATATGTCATGAGGAATGTCCAGATGTAACAAATGTTAAGGCTGTAACATGTTGGTGTTTTTAAATACTGTACTGTTGTTACATACAGATGTTTAACTGATGTAACGTATGAGATGTATTATGCAAGTGTTGTAAACAGGTGTACTGTAATATATTTAGGTGTAAAAGGCAGATAGTAATCCCCTTAGCTTCCCTTACACCCAGTAAAACAATTGTAACGCTCAGTCCTCTCTATCAGGTTTTCCCCATATATGGGCATGGTGATGTCATATCAAACCCATATTAGTATTTGGTAGCATGAAAGTAAGTATTTGGTACATAAAAGATGATAGAATGAACAGAGCTTAAATTAGTTGTTAATGCTCACCTGCACTGGAGAGGGATGTATAAGTATTTTGATTCTGAATTCAAACAATTGTTTAATTTTTAAGCCTGTATATATTTGTTATGGCACCCTCTACATAACACTTTTAATATTGGAACTTTTAATTTTGATCAGTTTGATACCAAATTAATGATTATTTTATTGGGCTTTTTAGGTATATAATGTGAAGCTCTGTTTACACTCTCAAATTCTCTTTGACAGAAAACTGTTGTGTGTCCTTGGTCCATGTATAGTCACTATGTGCCTATATAATATAGTCATATTGTGATATCATTATGACCATATTTTGCATGTTACATGTATGTCAAATAAAATGTGGTAGTGTGAAGAGGGCTGAAGGTGTATCCTATGTTAAAAGGAATTTAAATTGTGTTTCTATTGTTTGGTAAGTATTATGCTACATCCTTGCCAAAGGAATACAGTCTATGCTTGTTTGGATGTTGAAACATGGATTTGTCTTGTGACAGTAGATTTGAGATTGATTAAAATGACATTTTCTGATTACACCACATACGTCTATTATCTGTAACTTGTCATGTTGTCAATGAATAAACTCAATATCTATAATTGTTAATACAGTACAGGTACTTGTTGAAGGTGGATGAAAAAAATATCAAATATGATGAAACCTAATAATAGACAGTTATGAAAAGAGCCTGCATTGACAGTTTAATATCACAAATAGCCATTGACAACCCAGAGGCAACGATAGAGTGAGGTGTGTGGCAATGAATAAAGGGGCATAGCGCATTTAGGTGAGAGGAGTGGGGAATGATGGGATAGACAAAATACAGTTGGTCATACATCATCGTATGTTAAAACCAGGGAGAGTCAGCTCATGTTATAGGCCTACCATCTGATGGTTGCGCGTATTCTTGCATGACCATCTTCCATCTGTTGTAGAATTTTGGACAGACACAGATTGGGGAGACTAGAGAGTTAGTGCATGGGGGCCCTGGCGCTTCGCCCCATTCAACACCCGAGCGTAACGCCACTGACACAGCCATGATTGTTATATAGACCATGTGTTGTCACTATAAAAGTAGTCGTATATTTTGTGACAGAACATATGTAGGCGTAACTGTGGTAGCCAAGCACATGGAAATAAACTTGAAACACTTTTCAGATCTGGAATTAAATACTACGTCATCAAAGTGATGTCAAAACAAATTGTATTAATTCCTATTTTGCCCTGATAATAATTACATTGTTTACCTGAGTATATTTAAGGGCACATTTATTTCAACAGCATAAAAAAACAATGCAATTTTGTGACTGGAAATACATTTTCTTTAAAAAGCAATAAAATTAAACCAGTTTTTATACAACATTTGCCAAATAAAAACAGTCCCTCCCTCATCGATAAAAAAAAAGAGTAATATTCTATTGTTCAGACAAAAAAAAACACCAAAAAAACCGCCTCCCTCATCACTTTTTTATAAGTGATCTAATAATTTTTTCTATGTGCCCGAATAGGAAAGCTTTAGTATTAAACAATCTCAAACTATATATCGCGTCTCAAACGGAAGATACTGTACATATTGTTTTTGTGTATTCCACCATATCTCTAAATGCACTGTAGATTCAGTCGGTGGGTAAACATTTACTTGTAGATATAAATTAGACAAGGAAATTCAGCCCTCTCACCATTAAGCATTCTTATATGAATGTTTTTATCTTGGGATGGAGGCAGCGTATTTTTGTACCAGTAACGTGTCAAGAGCTAAGGCAATGTAATAAGGTATCAGGAGACAAAAGTAAAATACTAGCAAATATACTAGATAAAACAATGTTGAGGAGCAGGACCACCAAGAGGGGAAACTGCTCCATCGTCATTTCACAGTAAAACCATAGCTTCATCATCACTTCTTCCTATGAATGTATTTATTGTGGTGCAGTAAATTTACTGATTAATTATTAATTTATTATCATGAATGTAGATGAGTAACTAGCATAATCACACCGGTATCAATATGACTCTTTTCCTCTTACTGTTGCAAACATCATTTAACTGTCTGCCTATGAACGGCATTTATCATGTTGAGAACACTCATTTTACTGATTAATATTACTAATTTATTAATATTTATGTACAGTAAATGAAAAATTAGCATAATCACACGGGTACTCACATTAACAGGTTCCATATCATGGTGCAGAAACAGTATTATTTATAGCATTAATATGCTCTTCTACTTATTGTCAAAAAATTCATACCAAACTCAATAATGTGTGCGACAATAAATTTACTCCCATCATCAACAAAATCATCACAAAGAACAGTAAATACAACACCAAATCCCAGAGCTTTGCTGCTATAGGAAGGCTTAATAATAGACCAACAGACACAAATTACAATATCTAGTCTGTTTTATTTTTTTATATTATTCTTGTGTTTTTTTTTTACACATTGTAAAAGAAAACAAGTTACAAATACAAACTCTCTGTTAACTAAATATACTACCCGATTCCCATTGTTTAAGAACACCCGTTGTTTGTTCTACTTTGTTAACTGTACATAGGTATATTCTAATATGAAGCTATTTTCCCCAAAGTATTCTTGCCAAAGCTATACAAATTAATGGAATGCAGTCAGCAAAAAAATTAACAAATATTTTCCTCCCCAAAAATAAGAATGGTAAATCAGATAAAAATATATTTAAAAATATTTTATATATAACAGTTGTAGTTTTCCATGCAGAATAGTGGATATAATATTCGCACACAAAAATCTTCATAAATAAATGCTGGTGATGTTTACATCACATTTTTACAATAGAGAGATAAATACTGTGACCGGCCCTACCACTATGGTTAAACCATTAAAAAGTTATAAATTGTATTTTAAATTCTATTGCAATTAAAATTTTTTTTTATTCATAAATTCACAATTCACATACTGATGTTATTTAAATTTTGACTAATACATCCTCCACTTACAAAACATTTTTTTTTCAAATAAAAGGGCTAATCATGTCATTTGGACATTATATAATATATGTCATATTTATCACATAACTTATGACACAAATTAGTGTATGTCTCATACTGAAGCCCCAACAGGCAAAGACTTAAGGCTTCAATACCATTGATTGATAAAATTAGAATTGGTACATTTACAACCTTAAAAATGAATATAAATACTGGCAAACAGTAAAACTTATTTTTCAATTATATCAAAACATAAGCCTAGCTTTTGGTAGAGCAGGCCACAATAAATTAGCCAGAAGAATCATTAGCGTTCAGGCATATAAGGACGGTCATTCATGAAATCTAATTCCAGTTCTTCATTAAACTTCATCACAGGGTTAATCGATTTTATCATCAAGGCCTAAAATATTATTTCTTTAATGCTCCTGATTTCACATATATAAAATTATATATTAATTTTTTTTTTTTTTTGGCACATTGATATTCTCAACAAGTTGATAGGTGCACTGCGAAATTGGCTGACTTCAAGTAATCCCTCTTAGCTACTAATTCAACATGTGCTTTGCCATCGAGCAAATATCTACAAAGAAAAAAAAACATGAAATAAATTTGTGTACAGTTATAAGTTGTGCATTCATTTCTAATGCACTGAACGAAACATCCCTATTCTTACATACTAATTAGTATTTTCTGGTCAATTCATTTTCCCCTGGTCATTGGACATGCAAATTCTCTGCTTGTGGGAAATATATTCTTAGATATGAGCGTAATTCAGATCTTATAATTCCATTCCAAATCATTCACCTCCTAAAAGGTACCCATTGTTAATCCTGAGTATTACTCTTAAAAAGAGAGGCAAACACAGATATATTCTTAGATATGAGCGTAATTCAGATCTTATAATTCCATTCCAAATCATTCACCTCCTAAAAGGTACCCATTGTTAATCCTGAGTATTACTCTTAAAAAGAGAGGCAAACACAGATAAAGAGTCTTGCTCTACAGGATAAATAAATACATATAGTGTGTTGTTATCGACTTACTCAGTTTTTCCTCTACTGCTATGTACAATACTATTCGGTCCCATTATCAAATATTTTCGGTTTTTCTTCATCAGGTGCCGGCAACCCTTACTCAACCAAAACGTCCTTTTGACCTTTGCCTTTAAAGATTCTTTATTCACATTATCAGCAGCTGTAAAAAATGAAAAATAACTTTCAATTAATAAAAACATTATACTCTAATTATGACATTTGTTGGTGAAATCAAAGATGTGGACAAACTTATCATGTACCTGGTAACTTAAAAAAAAGTATTTTAGATTAAAAGCATAAGCAATTTTTTAGATTTATTATAATGTACAAAGTTTTACTTACTGTTTTGTGTTAAAGATACTATATTGCCAGTGTACCTGTAGAAGAACTCTGTCTCCTCAATTCTTTTTACAGTAATTTCATATACTAGAAAAAATGAAACAGAAATTGATATTACAGTAAAAAAATGGAATGTCACAAAATGTAATAAATTAGGTTTAATATTTTCTAATACTAACATTATTGACAGTTCGCAAAATTGGTCTATACTATTGTTTAAAGAAGCGTTTGCTATACATAGGCTACACCCATCCCTGAATAGGGTTGGCCATAGTACAAAACAAAAAAAAAACTTTAATTGATTAACATTTTCAAGCTGTCAATTTAAAGGTCTATGCAAAAGAATACAGAAAGGTATCATATAATTGTCCACAGATTGACAGGGAACCTTTTCTCATTCAAATTATTTTATTCAAATTATTAATAGCCACTGCTATTAAAATATATGCACACTGTACCTGGGGATGGTCTTTGAAGGCTTTGCATCGGGCGTTTACTCTGATATTGATATTGATTTTATTGAATAATTGTTATTGTTACTATCAATTACTCATTCCTAAGCACATGATTTTATGTATTTTGATATGTATTGATGTTTTGTTTTGCTTTTTTATACCCTCCAGTTTGGAGGCAATATTTAATAAATTGAATTGAACTGAAATTTAGTTTATTCATAGCTATGTCTCCTACTAGAGGTAATGTTTTGATTGGTTAAACACTTTTGGTATTTGTGCATATAAGCTTGCAAATATGGATAATTTTTTATTCCTGATGATGACATAATTAATGTCGAAATATTGAATCCCGACACGATGGCATGCATTTTGATACTTGAAGTATGCATTACACATCTTTTCACAAAATATGTTGTAAATAATTAAGTTGCTATTTTTTCAGTCTCTGTTCAGATGTAATTATTTGATTCATAATATATATGTAAGTTGTTGTGTTCCACATGTTGGTGCCTTCAAATCTCAGAGTACATGTTATTTTCAGAAAATATGGACGCAAGGCTTGATTTTGATTATGCCCATCATATGTCTTGTAGAGAAATATTAAGCAATTATACAATGATGGGAATAATAATATTAACATAGAGGACTTACCATAGACTGAAGCAGAATGTGTGTGTATATATATATATTTATATATATGTATATATGTATATATGTGTATATAGATATTGTGATTTCATTTAATAATTGTTATTGTTACTATCAATTACTCATTCCTAAGCACATGATTTTATGTATTTTGATATGTATTGATGTTTTGTTTTGCTTTTTTATACCCTCCAGTTTGGAGGCAATATTTAATAAATTGAATTGAACTGAAATTTAGTTTATTCATAGCTATGTCTCCTACTAGAGGTAATGTTTTGATTGGTTAAACACTTTTGGTACTTGTGCATATAAGCTTGCAAATATGGATAATTTTTGATTCCTGATGATGACATAATTAATGTCGAAATATTGAATCCCGACACGATGGCATGCATTTCGATACTTGAAGTATGCATTACACATCTTTTCACAAAATATGTTGTAGATAATTAAGTTGCTCATTTTTCAGTCTCTGTTCAGATGTAATTATTTGATTCATAATATATATGTAAGTTGTTGTGTTCCACATGTTGGTGCCTTCAAATCTCAGAGTACATGTTATTTCCAGAAAATATGGACGCAAGGCTTGATTTTGATTATGCCCGTCATATGTGCTTGTAGAGAAATATTAAGCAATTATACAACGATGAGAATAATAATATTAACATAGAGGACTTACCATAGTCTGAAGCACAAGCCTGTGTAATCATACCTTCCAGACTCGTTTCAGAACTGAAGCTGACACATTTGTCTAAAAAAAAAAATTATATAAATATATTTATCAACTGCAAAGTGTATCCACAAAAAACCCCCTAAAAAACAGAAAAACAAAAAAAAATAACCCTCAAAAAACAGAAAAACAAAAAAAACCCCCCAAAAACAGAACTTATGTTACTGGCTGCAATAAATGTATAAATTATTAGATTAAAATATTGTTTATTTAATGTAAAGGTGTAAAGTCAAGAATATATCCATCTGTTTTGTCCTTTTGTTGGCAAGAAAATGTATCATAAAATATTGCTGACACTTACTTGTTGAACACTGGCAAGATGTTTCATTCAGGCAAAGCAGACTGAGAAGCTCGCTACCCCCAGGGGGCTGGTAGAACTCTGTGCACTTGTTGTCTGCAAGGTACACAGAATTAAAAAAACTATTAATATGCAAACTATAATTCAGATATTGAATATTATTTTTCTAGGTTTTCAGTTCAACAATACATCAAATTGAGGTGTCATATTCTGCAGATGAAGTTAAATAAAACACTTAATCTCTCTTACCAGGCTCTGCATATTCATAAATTGATACAGTAACAGGCTGGATAGAGACTACTGTGAAAATCTGCTCAATGTCGAAGTTCACACAGGCTGGAGTATCTCTTGGAACCTAGTGTTTTTGGATGCAATGTTTTAAAATATGAGATAATTACTCAATGTAAATATAAACATATTTAAGCATTGGAGGAATTATTAACTGGATATGTTTAACATAATATACAATATAAAATCTCTAGTTCAATTCTTTGGTTCTGTTAACTAACCAATAAAATAGTTAAATGAATATTACCTCTTCCAAGTAAAACAGAACAGATCGGTCCGATTCTTCAAATTGTTTAAAGCCTTCGTCTTTTCTTAGAGTCTATAGGAATTATAGGAAGTAACATTTATAAATTCATGAATATCAACGTTTTAAATTCACATTGCGTTTCTGCCATCTAGATGAGACATACAGACTAACGATGGAATTACACACAGTATAGAAAGAGGGAATGTTATGATTTTGAAAAAGTCCAACACAATGATAATGCTGTATTAACAAATGGATAAAAAAGCGGTATCATAGTTATTATACTCTAGTGAGTGCATTTTAAGTTTTGGAATTCACATTATCTTTGTGAGTCTGGAGCTGGCCTAGAATGTTGCACTATGCAGATATATAGGGCAATACTTTTCTTGTAAAAACATATTCATGGGTAGTACCGTACTCGTGCGAATAAGTGCCCCGTTTGAATAAGCACCCCCGCAATTTTGAACAAGCACACCTCGATTCCTAAAAAAATTCATTCATACAGTACAGTACATCACATCACCAACTTAATTTTCTGCATCAACTATTCGCATCTATCTTAGCATTGTCAGTCGGTCAGTCCATTTATCCGTCTGTCGGTCTATCAGTCTCCATTAAATTTAACATGGTTTTCAGTTTTGATTTCCATTCTTGTTTTATTGCTACCCGGCTGTTTTGGATTTAGAGCTACAGTATTTAATTTCTAAAAATTAAAATACTGTATGGCCATTTTCAGTCAACAAAAATAAACTGACTTCATCGCAAAAATAAACTTAAATAGACTTCATCGCTCTTGTACTGTATCTAAGCAAGAAATCCTGCAATGATCGATGGCCAACACGCTTACCACCACTACCACCAATTTCATCTGATGTTGTGTAAATACCCCCAACATTCTTGTCATGAGCCATGCTCTCTTGACGATTACCCTTTCTTCACCAAAACCATTTGTTTATCTTCGATTAAAAAAAAAGTGCCCTTTGAATTTTCCAATTTCCATAAAGACCCCTTAAATTTTCATCTATTTCCATAAGCGCCCCTCAATTTCCACCCTGTTTTCATAAGCGCCCCCATTTGAATAAGCGCCAAGAATATTTTAAGCGCCCGGGCGCTTATTCGTGCGAGTACGGTAGTACAATTAATTTGGATAGGTCTACCTCTTTGTCAAAACTGAATCCACTGAAGAGCTGGACCTCAAGGACACCCATAAACACTTTCTTGTTTTGAAGATTCCTGGAAAATAAATAGAGTATTCAACTGATAATATACAGTACAATCATTGCTTTCCAACATCTTACTCCATGGTCCTTCTTCCAAAGGTGGAAGGGTTTTGTACCCAGCTTCGTCAATAAATATACACTAGCTACTTTAGTTTTCGTATTCAATGTAAAGGTAAAGGTAAGGTAGGAGAATAACCCATAACTTTAAGCGTCATTGTGCTGAATTGCGTATGGGCGTGGTAATGACTACCTAGCAGCCGTAAAGGCGTTTTGTGATAGCTACAAGTTTACATCATTCCACAACAACAGGGGCTGAAATGAACCATCACATCGGGGTAACACTCTACTCTTACGAAAGATGTAATGGGTTCTTTAAAGTGCACACAAGCCAGATGTATACACTGGACCTCCATTTTAAGTCCTTATCCGAGAAGACTTGGGTCTACAAACTGAAAAATTCGGCGAGGAGCGGCTGGAACCAGCGCCAATGTTAAAGCTGTTTGTTCGCTCAGACTCCACCACGATCAGAACATGATTAGGCGCACCGGATGGTTTGTTTTTAGGCGCACCGGATGGTTTGTTTTTAGGCGCACCGGATGGTTTGTTTTTAGGCGCACCGGATGGTTTGTTTTTAGGCGCACCGGATGGTTTTGTTTTTAGGCGCACCGGATGGTTTGTTTTTAGGCGCACCGGATGGTTTGTTTTTAGGCGCACCGGATGGTTTGTTTTTAGGCGCACCGGATGGTTTGTTTTTAGGCGCACCGGATGGTTTGTTTTTAACGACGATAAACCCTTAGTACCTAAAGGATTCTAAACGTAGCTTTGTCTGGGAAAAATAATGATAAAATAATACCTTGTACAAGCTTGAACGTGGTACCTCAAGTTCTTTCCATTTGACTTTGAGCCCTTCAACTCTGTTGTGCTTGCGACGACAGAAAACATACAAGTTTCAAAATTAACATTTGGTTTAGTGTTGTAAGTAACTTCCATCTATAAAAACAGAAAAAAACATTCAATTAATGCTTTTGCAGAAGAAATAATATTAAAAAATATATATATTTTATTTTATAGTAACATTTATTATTTAATTAGTACTAAAAAAAAAGTATTCTTTGTATAGTAGAAATGTATCACCCTCCAGTGGTGGATCTAGATTTTTTTGGTTAATAGGGCTACAGAAAATTTCAGATGGTTTGAATAAATCTACCTTAGCCACATAATGAGAATATTACTATACTACAAGATGTAGGATGGTTGATAACCTAATATTTTCAGACGAAGCTACTAATAGTAATCTACTATCATATGCAAGTTAAAACCCTCTAAATCTGTCCCTTTAATCACAACCAAAGCAAGAACAGTTTTAAACAGTTTATTGCAAATTCTCACCTGTAGTTGAGCTGACCCAGATCCGGACGTATTAATGACAATGGGTTTTTCAAATGGTCCTAGAATCTGCAACAAAGACATTGTCAAAACATGAGATTTGCCGATTGGAAAGATACAAGTGGCGGAACCTGGGGTGGCAAAAATGGCGGTCGCCCCTTCCAGGCAGAAGCCAAAGAACACCCCAAAAAACTCTGTAGTCTATCACAATTGTTTAATATTCACTCAGCTTTCACTGTGAACGGTGGATTAATCGGTGGGAATTGAACCCACGGCCTCCAGATAACTAGCCTGGTGTCTTAACAACTTGACCATCGAGCTTGCGCTTGATGGTTATTGATGAATCCATTTCCTAAGTAGCAGCGGGTACTGCAATGCTATTCTGATAGCGTTTAGTTAAAGAGTGTAATTAGATGTTTTACCTCTAAGTGTTGCTGGACCAACACATTGTTCTGCCTAAGCTCCAACACAGTTTTGTTTTCAGTAACTAGGTTTTGAACTTCCACATCCAAGTGAAGGCTGCTGCTTGCGTGTGTCTTCTTTGCGTACTCTGCCAGAGCTTGCATTCCAACCTGAATATCCTGTAATTAAAAAAAAATTAATTTAGTAATATTTACTTATATAGTTTCTAATTAAACTTTCTTTGAAAATGATTAAATTATACAATTAAATTTTGTCAATGTGTTGCCTTAATGATTATGATGTTTATTTTTTGATGTAACTAACCCTGTGGAAGAATGCTAGTACATTTCACATATTAGGATAGCACTACCCATAAAAATAAAGGATTGTTAAAGATTATTAAAGCAAATAGCCCAAGGCTTGTAGTGTTTTGTCTAATGGGCTAGCATTTTGTCAGCATCATAGGGCTAGCAAGCATGTATGTCCACATTAACAGGAACTTTAAAAAGTTACACTATAACAATAACAATTATATGTAATGGTCACTATATGAAAGCTAAGCATCATTGGATACATAAAGGTTTTAATAACAGGATTTCATAACTGGAACATAATCAACACTTGTAAAATGATCAGTCCCACACGTGCATGTCACAGATCAGATATTTTGAATGAAGGGTCACAGCCAATGTTTCCCCGCAGTTTTGCAATTTATTGTAGCAAGAAAATTTAATTGCAATTTTTTTTCAGTCAAAACAGGGAAACATTAATCATCCCTTTCTAGACTTGTCACCAAAATTCATTTCTGAAGATGAACAAGTAATGTTTGAAATACTGAATCACAATGGCTTCTTTCACAAACTCAAATCTTTTTGCCTACTGAAATGTAAACAAAATTTTCAATTGGCATACTGAATGTGGGTGCAACCCTTCTGGAAGCAGGCATTGAACATTTTTACCAAATTTACGAACAACTGTGACATACACATGTTGGACTGAGATTGAATGGGAGAGATTTAGAGGACAGTACCTCATCATTCAAATGCATGCTAGATTTCAAATACAACAAGTACAAGAGTGAAACTAGGATTTCATCAAGGCAAAGTGCAAAGAGATTCCATACAGAGGGAATTGTTATTGCACATAATACCAACATACTTAAGTTGAAGTACAACAGAATATAACACAGATTGCAAGTACTTTATAATACTCAAAAGGCATCTTTGAAACTACTGTTGAGTTTTCAAAGGCAGATTCAATCTGTCAATGAAAATTAGCTTTTCAAAAATAAACATTGAATCACCACCATGAAACAAAAGACTGAGGGTGAAAACTAAAGAATGATAAGCTTTGGGAAAATTAAAGGAAATATGCAGCAAAAAAAAAACAAAAAAAAAACCCCTAATAAACAAGAACATGCAATACAGTAATATGGTATAAGATTTAGGGTGTTTTAGGAAAGTTTGTTGGAATTAGCAACTATAGAGGGCAGTGTGCAAAACATATTTTTCTCATTTTTAATTGCTATAGACAGATTGAAGTAATGTTGTGCTTTTAAAGTGTTGTTTATATAAAAAGCAAGCCAATATGCAAACCAAGCAAGACAAATTAAAAAGTGCTTTTAATTATGAGTAAATAATAAATTAATAAATTAATGGGTGTACAGACACATAATAGATGGTTTTGTACAAACTGGTGCCGGGAAACGCAAGCTGATGGGGCATTGCCCACGTCACATTTACACTGCAACAAAAGAACAAACAAAAGATATGCAATAAATTGTTTTGAGCTTCATTTTTCTTGTATGAAAAGTTTCATTCCATTTAATTATTTTGTTGCCTCATATTTGTATAAAGAGTTTAAGTGTGGTATTGTAAAATAACTAAAACAAATTGATGGAATTATTAACTCAAAAATGATGGCATAAAACATTTGCCTTCATACATAAAAAATCTTAAGACATATATTGCCAAGAGTTACTGATATGAATTATAATTTAAAAATATCAAATTTACAAAAATATCGACATAGATGTAAAAGTTCAAAATAAACATATAGTAAAAATATTAAACAATGGCAACAAAATTAGATTATCTTCATAGTAAAAATATAAGCTATAAATGAAGGGCTTGAAGCTCTGCCAACACAATCAAATTTTCTTTGACAAAACAACTGCTGTGTGCCCATATATAGTCATCATATGCCTATATATGGTCATGATGTGCCCATATATGTTCATGATGTGATGTCATCATGAGAATATAATAAACATGTCACACTATTTATATGGTAGAAATTTTAAAATGATGAAATTATTAGACCAACCACCTAAAATTTATTTTTACTTGTTTTAGATATATTTTAATATAAATTAAATTTGAGTATTCATTATTGATTCCTATACCAAATTATCTATATATCAGGGGAGGGGGGGGGCAGGGTCCCTAGTCTTACAAATATCACATGGCATGCCCTGCCTGCAAGAGCAACATGCCGGGCAAGCAGGGTGCTTATCATCGCGTGGGCTAGGCCTAGGCCCACCACACATCGAACAAGTAGGCTTCCGCGCGGACATGGCTACAGGAAACACTACATCTTTACAACTCTTTGTTAAACAACAATAGGCAAGCTTTCACATGTCCATACAAGACAAAAGCGAGAAGGAAATGAGGATATTGTTCATTCACGCAGGGCGTACATAGGCGAGCTAGGGCGAGCCCATTATTTTTTTTTTATGCTTGAGAGGTAAGTTTCAAAGGAAACTTAGGCATTTATCGGTTTATACAGGTAAAGGTAAGTATTCACGAATTAGACAAAAAATTATATGTATTTTCTACATTTAGTAGACTCTAAAATTGATTAAATAAGCCTTTGAAACCTCTAAATTGTGAAAGTCTTCGCCCCCTGGACCACTTTCGAAACCTTTTAATCAAAGTTCGACTTTGCTTTCTTCAGGGAAATAAGACCCCTCGTCGGGGGCTTTGGCCCGACCACCTACCCCCCCCCCCCCCCCCCCCCCCCCCCTTTTGGCGACCTCAGTCCCCCGTCATTGGGAAAATCCTGGTGCCACCCTTGCTATATAATATACATTATTATACTATACTATATTTACAACATTTTAATTAGTTTCTACAATTTTATATTGTATAATGTTTTTGCATGGATGAGGCATTTATGTATCAGCATTTCTGGATGATTCTGCAACTTTAAAATGGAAGTGTTAGTAATTCATGTGTAAAATAACGGTGACCTTTGCCATGCAGTGTGTGTGCTGCTTTTATAAACCTATATACCGCCCTTGTATGGCTAAATACTTGTGATTAATTAGCTGTATAAAATTTAGTACTAGGACATTTGCAATTTATGAATTAGTTACATATAATGCTTGTTTGCAGTATATATGACATCATAAACTGTATAATAATTATATATTATAATATAATATATGTATATTATATTATATAGTTTTAGAAAAGCAAGGTAATAAATGCTTTACTGTTGTCGCCTGTATTCCGTAGCTGAGATGTTTTTGCTGTCGGACCAACCATTCAACAATTTCATTGCTAGTGTCCATTTTGCCAAGTTGGACTTGTGTTAGCAGGGAATATCCGGTAGTTTTCACCGACATGAATGACGGTTTGAATGAGCGCCAACATTGTGACAAATCTTCCATTTCATGGGTTGTCTCGTCAACGTTCCAATAGCGGTATCCATATTCTAATACATTTTAATATATAAAGTAATATAAAAGTTAATAAGTAATCATGGATAACAATTTTTGTCTATTAGATATAAAATATTATACCACATTTTGACTGAGGTCCAGCTGTAGGTGCTACACAAAGCATCAAAATCATAATCATCATCAACAACATCATCTTAAATATAATGTGCCAATGGAAATATGATATTGATTATTATGATTATTTCTATCAGGATAACATTTTAAATATTATTTTTAACTGATATTTAATGACAATTCATATCATTTATTTCACAGACTAACAGCAAATCATTTCTACTAAAAGTTTGGTATAAATAACATAATTGGCACTGTCGTTACGTAATAAGTATAGATGTTTTCTAGAACAACTAACCTTCCTCGTATGTGGCAAGAGACAACAGTTGTTTATTTGCCTCATGCTTCATTTTGCTATTTGATAAACTGAGGGCGTATGCGGTGATAGCAAGGGCGTACTTATTCTCCACTGATTTCTGTGTTACTGCTCTCTCTAAATATTCCGTAGCCCTTTTGATGGAGTGATGGACCGAGAAAGCCTGTAAACAAAAAAGTGTCAACAATGTTTATAATATGGCAGTCATTATTGTTACACAAATTCCTAATTATAATTGGATTGTATGCATAGATGATTAAATTAGGACAATAAAATCCAGTCAAAATTACATACAAATTTGTTTAGGACTGGTGTAATTGCAAACAATAGCGTTATCAACAAAATTAAAAAGGTATTAGCGAAAGATTTTTTAAATCATAAAATGTTCTACACGCTAATTTAGCGAATCTGTGCAAAGAATACAAGAACAGTATAATTCATGCCTATATTTACTGATAAATATAATTATCTAAATTTCCAATTTATAAAAGTGACTTACTTAAAATACAAGTAGACCCAACCAAAATTTCAAAAGATGCAATAACTTACCACATGATGCCTGCAGCCAAGTAGGGTTGTGAGAACATGTGCTGTTAGTGCTGCATGCCCTTTCAATCCATCCTGGTTATCAATAATATAAGAAAAATATATAGATATGTTTAAGCACTGTGACAAATTTATTTATTATTATTTTATTAATGTAAATAATGAGTGTAAGTAAAAGTGAATTATGAGTGTAAATTGAGTACAAATGTGTGAGTACTAATGTGGATATGAGTATAATTAAGAGTACACGTTTGTGTGTATATGTACAAATGTGGATATAAGTAAGAGTACCCATGTGTAAGTACTGTATAAGTACAAACACAAGTATATAAGTACAAGTGTGAATACGAGTGTAAAGCTCAGTTTCCATAGAATTGCTTACCCTATCGGCGACAGTTTGTCGGGAAGTTTGAATCTGGTTCTACTTTGCCGATTGCATTGCAGACAAATCAGTGTGCATTGCTAGTTGCCATGATGCAATCTGGAAGGCGTCCGGATTCGTCTGCAACGCAGTCTCTAAAGTTGAACCAGGTTCAACCTTCCCGAAAACTGTCGGCGATACGTAAGATATTCTATGGATACTGAGCTTTAGTAAAAGTACATGTGTGAGTAAAAAACTTTAATTTATTTTATTTCCATCATGTATTGAGAGTGACCCTCCCGCTCAACGGTAAGCCAGTGAGCTGACCAATGGGGACCCTCGAAAATTGGAGTAGCCCTGGGCTTCTTTTTTTGCAAACTTTGGATGGGCTTCTTTTCGAGGTGGGCTTCTTTTCGGGACTATTTTGCAAAGTAAAGAGGGGCTTTTCAAAATGAATGCTGTAAATTTTTTGAATTTGTACTATAAAATAATAAATAAGGACACTGTAACATCAATCTGTATCATGGAGTGTATTTAATTTGCTCTAAATCACCTAAACTACTGTATAAACCAAGCTTGTATTTAATTTATTTTGTTTTCTGAAATTCATGTGTCAGTGTATGTACTAGACATATTATTCCGAAAAGAAGCCTATGCTATCTTGAAAAGAATTCCATGGGCTTCTTTTTGAGATGGGCTTCTTTTCGAAGTTAATTTTGCAAACTAAAGAGGGGGGCTTCAATTCGAGATGGGCTTCATCTCGAGATTAAGCCCATTGGGCTTCAATTCAAGATTTTATGGTATGTGAATATGGGTATTATCAGTACGAATATGAGTATAAGTACAGTATGAGTTGCGTATGAGAATTCATTCACCCTAGATAAAGTGATACTAACCACAGCATCTCGTACAAGGTTGGTTTCGTTAAAGTGGCCGTCGGCAGCCTGATGATTCATCAGCCAATGTATAGACTTGCTGATTACAACACTGTCGATGAAAATAAACTGGCTAGCCTCGCACATGGTCAGTGTAGAAAAAGCAGTTAACCTGAGCAAAGTAGCAAAAGTAAACAACAATAATAATAAAGTAATACTAGGGCTCAATGTGTTAATTGGTGACCCAGTTTAGAACAAACACATATAGAGAGCACATGAGAATATTTACTGCGAAATAAGTGAGCATGAAATACTTGTATTGCAGTGAATTTCTATGCAAGCCACTACGATTACTCTGGCAGACCACACCAGTCCTCTAATGTATTTTAAATTAAATATGCTGTTGGACCATCATGATTAATGAATTAAATTTTTTTCACCGTAGTCAATGACGTTGATGATAATGATAGTAATGATAATTACCAAGTACTGCTGTGGTCGGAGTACTGCCATTCTCTGTAAGATCCATCATCTTGGTAGAAGGCCATTTCACGGTCATAGCCTAGAACAACAATAAACACAAAATATTATCTAAAGTTGTATATTCTCATATAAAAGAACAATACTAAAGATAATATGATTATAAATAATAAATTGCAAAAGCTTTCTTGATACAGAGTGTAACTGTTCAGTGTCCTTACTGCATCATAATATTCATTTTCAGTGTATTATATTTCTAATAAGGCTAAACTAATTTCTTTTACCTTGCCCTTGGTATGTCAATAAACAAAATAAATTGAGCATAGTTACCTTCTTTCAAAACCCTCTTTGCTTGGTTATATATAACCGGAGTGAGCTGTCCTGTCGAGTTGAGGTAGGATAAAGCATGGATGTGAGGGGCAAACTTAATGAGTGTCTGTTCTCCACACACCGTGGGCAATGCCAGTCCTTCCAAACCCTCAGCTATTGAGGTCAGTGTTGGTCCTACTGGGTCACCTGAAATTGAATAAACAAGATTTGTACATTGTTGCGAATGAACACAGCAAATGTTCAATGTTATTATTTTAGAATGAATTGTCTGTATTCATGGGAAGGATTGTTAAAGTTTCATGAGAATTGTCTATGTTAATGGAACAAACTTTTTAAACTTTTAGAACAAAGTATCCAAGGTCAAAGGGCATATCAACACACTTCATAGGACCAGTCTTCCAAGAACTAATTCCATGTTAATAGACAAATTGTCCACATTCATTGAACTACTTATTCAATATTCTGATAAATTTTCCATGTTTCATTTGAATAAACCATCAAAATTTGAAACAATACACATACAATATACATGAAAAAAAGGTAATTAAAATATGTTGTTCATTCTGCAAAGACCAACATAAGCACCGTACCTGTAAGTTTGAGGATTAGGCTCTCTGATCCCTCAACAACATCATCTGGGAAGTTTATGGTAACAATATCCATCTGAGGAACCCCTCCTGCACTCTCTACATTTTAAGGAAGAAAAGTAATATTGCGATCAAGAAAATTTATAATCATCATCATTGTCACAATTTTTAATATCATTAAAAGCAACATTGTTTTCATACCATGCATCCTACCACTGACATCACTGCTAACAACCTCACTATGATCATGATGGTCATCATCCTCATCTTTATTGTTCTTGTCGTCATCATCCTCATCATCATCATTATCAATGTCATCTTCATTGTAATCATCGATAACAATATTTTCTTTACCACATGCAACCTACCACTGGCATCACCATTTCCAAAAGCATCATTTTTTATCATTATTCCCATTGTTATCATTACCACAACATCCTTATCATCGTCGTCCTTATGATAAATCACCCTCATCATCGTCTTCACCTTCTGTGTCCTTGTTATTTTATTAGCCAAAAATTGTTTTCATCACATGCACACAACCACCGAAAGCATCACAGCAAATAGAATCACCATTATCATCGTCAATTTCATTGTCCTCACCAATTACATCTTCATTCCAACTTACCTACATAATGATGTTTAAAAACACTATCATTTTCATAAGGGGCACTCTTCCTTTTATTGGAGGGATCAAGGATCAATGGCAACACAGAGGTACGGTGCAGACCTTCAGGCTAAAATGAATTAAAAAAAAAAAATGGTAATGCAATCATTTTTTGGGTCCGCACAAAGCGATGACCTCCGAGTCTCAATGCTGTTCTTGTTTTGAACAGACGTTCAGGAAATTTTGTACACATAAATTGGAGGTGATTTCCAACAAATGTTTATTGCCTTTTTTTAAAAGTTGGACACCTATGAAACAAAACAGCGGTTTCACCAAGAACTGTTGTTTGTTGAACTATCTACGTGGTGTACTGCAAGCATTAAATATATTATTACTTCGCCATGCAAACCTTCAAACAATAAATTTCAAAGATGTTACTAGTAATGTAAATTAAGATTTTATCAACTCACAATAACTCTGAGGTTGCTAACTATAGCATCGCGCTCTTCACCATCATCATTTTGAGCAATGGCTGCCACTGTGATTGGGAAGATTCCGCTTTCTAACGGCATCAAGATGAAAGAAACAGTTGCTTGATCATTGCCTCTAAGCGTCAAAGTCTGTGATTGGGTCATCTCACCTGGTGAAGCCGCAGAGCATACGCCTTTGACACCATACATAAATACATCAACCTAGGAAAAGATAAGATCTAACTGAACTTCAAATTTCTGATATTGTGGTCTACGCACAACTGTTACCATTCTAAACCATAAAGTCTATCCCCTTAACCTAAACCAGTTTTGCTACAGGAGCCTTTAGCTAGCCTCTTGGTTCGGACCCCTTGTCAGACTATAATTGATCGCTTGTTAATAAATATCTGGTACTACCACTGATTAAATGCAATACATAAAAGAAAATAGAGTAAAAGTGTTTACCTCAAAATCTTTCTGTACATAATTATAGAGGACAGCTCGAATATGGATATGTTCTCCACGAATGACTGAGTATGGTAAGTCCAGCTTCATAAAGAAGGGTTTGAAGACTGTGACTTCTAATGGGTCAGCGACACAGAGGGCGACATCATTTGATATACCTGTTCCTTGGACGAACCAAGTTGTGATGCTACTTGGTGTTGATAGTGTCAACTCTTCAAAACCAGATTCCCTGTTAAATAAAGAGAATTTATATGTCACATGACAAGTTAAGTAAGCGATGTACGAAAGAGCAGTAGTAGTCAATTAAACTGGAAGAAGCTGCTACATGTGCGCTGAACCGTGACGATCCATGGTAAATCTGTAGCACATGGTTAAATACACTACCTGCTGCTCTCCCTATGCTTCAAACTGTAGGGCTGAAATACAAATATTCAAGAACTGCACCGTCTTTTGGTTGGTCCTGTGTAAAATATGTCCATGTGCATGTTAATGAATCAAAAAATATTAGGGGAAAATATTGTGTACTGCACAATTCACTTCTAGAAGGACCCCACTGGAAATAAGTTTCTGAATTTGGAGTGTTTACTGTGGTGTTAACACCCAAAAAATCTAATCCAATCCATTAGAATTCATTATTTAAAAGATTTGCAGTTAATGAAAGAGAAATGTGACCCCTAATTTTGTTTTTCATTTCTTTTGAATGTTCTGAGCTTTTAAGGCATTGCCCCCATTGTTTTTGTCAAATTATTATTATATACAGTATTATTATTGTATATTAATTATGAAAATGGAAATGGAAATAAATGTTCATTGAATTGAATTGAACTTATAAGGTACCAGAAGTCAAAAAGAAAAAAAAACAACAATGATTATATAATCAACAACAAAATTAATTATAATAAAAAATTAATAACAATAGTTGTTGAATTTTAATTATTACACAAAAACAATATTTGCAATAAGTAAGAAAGGATTATCAAGTGTTATGATTATTATCATTACTATACATACACTATGGAAATAGTAAAGAGAAACTAAAAAAAAATATAAGAAGGGACGAATGTTATGTGACTCATGTGAACAGTAGGGGTCAGGGCATTGACCTGGACTTTCTATCGATCTTATCTTTGTGTAGGACGAGGGGTTCAGTACGGGTTGTTGTATATAATGATCTATGTATATGTGGCAAAGAGAAGCCAAACCATTCACTCATTGCAAATCCTGTTTCAGAGATAATGGCCAAAACATGATGGAATGTCAACATTTTTGAAATCTATTTTATTGCACTAAACTAACCTTTACACATCTATATATAATGCTATGCTGTTATTTTCCTCATTTTAAAAGTTAAAACAATAATTTTGACTGCTGACTTCTCAAATATTGTTCTTTATACAGCTGTATGTCTAAACTCCTGTAACATCGTAAAAAATTGTCGGATTTTAATGATTCGTTTACCATTTCATAGCTCTCATTTTACTGCTTAACGCTGTATTAATAAATAAATTTTTGCGATGAGTGACTGGTTAAGCTTGTCTTTGCACACATATTGTATATACACTATCAAAATGCAATCTGTCTAATGCTCAGTACACACTATCAAATTATCCTTGGCAACAAACTGCTGGATGCACATATATAGTCATGATGTGCCTATATATGGTCATGATGTGATGTTATCATGACCATATTTAGGCATGTCACATGTTTTTGTCCAATGAAATTTGATAGTCTGGGCAGTGCTTGATCATCAGACATGTGCTTTTTTTGCAATTTAAATTTCATAGGTAGTAAAACCAGTTGGCAAAACTGTTTACAATAAAAGTGAGCATACTGTATATTAGTTTTACTAGCCTCCATATACCATGTTTGTAAAATTTTTACAATGCAGCAAAGCAGCCAGTCACAGGGTAGGGGGTACATTTTGTATATATTCAACAGCAGAATGATTAATGTTGTTTACATCATATTTAGTGTGGGTGTTACATCCAGCACAGCTATTTGGACATTAATTTTCTGTTAACCAAGTCTCCATAAGAGTACACATTAGAGTTGTTCACTGGATGTTAGAAAATTTCCAGATATTTCTAGTGTTGAACATAATACCAAATTCTCAAATACACTCTAAATGGTTTGAAGACTTGTAATCTCACAAGATTATAGTTGCACACACGCATTTATAATACATAATTTGAAAACTTTAAAAAAAGGAAAAAAACTGTATAAAAATGTACAATTCAATATTTATTTAGCTTCATAAAAATATAATTTGTTCTATTGTGTAAATATTTATTTCTAAATTAATTTTCTATAAATAATTTAATATTTAAGTTATTATTGGCATCAACATGTATAGATTATAGGTTTAATATAATAATGTAATGCTTTAGTCATTTTATTATTTGCATAATATCTTAGTAGTCAGTACACACCTATTTCATGGGAGTGGTTTAGGCTGCGTTTGTGCTAATGACTATGGTTTTGTGTACTTGTTAATGCTTGTTTGATTTATTGATTTGTACATATTTTGTATAATTGTATATTTGTCTGAATAAATAATAAAAATAATAATAACTATAAATAATAATAATAATAATAATAATAGTAATAATAATAATAAATTGGAAGAGTATCAATGTTGAATAATTTTGGGTGCTATTTGTTTGATTTTGTATGCTTTGTTTGCCAAATCGGCTTGCCTTTGCAGCAGCCTATGCTAGTCTGTCACTATGGTCCATTGCCACAAGCACTGATCATTTCTTTGGCATAAACATGCGGCTGTCATGTTGAGTTCTGCATGCAATCTTCACGGGTGGATTTAGGGGGGGGGCCCGGATCTCTGGATCCACCCCTGATCTTTGCAGAGCAGTAAATGAATTGCAACAGAGGTTCCTGCAATATTTCTTTCATTTTATATTGATTTTCTTTCTAGCTGTTACTTTTTGCCAAAGTAGTGTCCATATGAAAAGGACATTATATAATTCTAAGTCAATCAAAATGCTTAATGACATATTTTTATATAGTATAATTTCTTTCTTTTTTGTTGGTAAGATATTTCTCTTAAACAAGTACTTCACTCTCTAAGCCTCACAGAGACTTGATCACAGTATGACAGATCAAACACCCCGAATGATACGTTAACACTCACCCAATTTCAATTTCTTGAAACACCCAGGTTTCTGGGAAGTTTGTTCTTAGTTCGAAGTCACTGATATCAGCTGTTATTGCAGACGACTGCCGGGTCATGATCATGTTTGATGCTTCGGAGCAGCAGTTATAAAAACGAAAGGGGTGGATTTGGGGGGGGGGGGGCCCGGCCCCCCTCCCTTTTGAGAGGTAAAAAAAAAGGAAAAAAAAAAGAAAAAAAGAAAGAAAAAGAGAAAAACGATAGCCCAGAACGCCTCAAATGTTATTTTCGGGCGTCTAAAACACAGAAATTTCATGGGCATGCCCCCGGACCTCCTATTTCAGTGTTGTCTCGATCGGCCCAAATTTCGGCCCCCCTTTTGGACATCTCTGGATCCACCCCTGATCTTTGCAGAGCAGTAAATGAATTGCAACAGAGGTTCCTGCAATATTTCTTTCATTTTATATTGATTTTCTTTCTAGCTGTTACTTTTTGCCAAAGTAGTGTCCATATGAAAAGGACATTATATAATTCTAAGTCAATCAAAATGCTTAATGACATATTTTTATATAGTATAATTTCTTTCTTTTTTGTTGGTAAGATATTTCTCTTAAACAAGTACTTCACTCTCTAAGCCTCACAGAGACTTGATCACAGTATGACAGATCAAACACCCCGAATGATACGTTAACACTCACCCAATTTCAATTTCTTGAAACACCCAGGTTTCTGGGAAGTTTGTTCTTAGTTCGAAGTCACTGATATCAGCTGTTATTGCAGACGACTGCCGGGTCATGATCATGTTTGATGCTTCGGAGCAGCAGTTATAAAAACGAACAATCAATGGGTCGTCTGGACTCAGTCCTTTTTTATTAGCAATTTTGGATGCGGCTTCTTTGCAAGATTTTGATTTTGACTTTTGTCGTCCTTTCTCGCACATTTCCAACAAGTCTTCATTTTGTTCTGGAATAAAAAATACTCTTTATAAGTTGATATATTAATGTTTCATGCATGCACAAACAATGTTGTTCTAATGGGCTGTATTTCATCAAGGTTAATACTTTAATTAGATTATTCTAATTAGGCCAATTTGATGGCGGTGAACTTTAGACAGAATTGTAGACAAGGGCAATGCGTTTACAGTGTCAGTATTATAGTTAGCTATTTACCCTTTAATAAAATTTCCATTGTCAATGAGCAAGTTTATAGAAAAGAAAAAAAAATAGTAGTAAGTAAAAAAGTAAAAAAAAACAAACCAAAAAAAAACCCAGAAAAAACAAAACCAGTTAGAAATCTGATGTGGGTGGAGGTGATAATGTTTTTAAATGGTTGACAACTGCTTTAAGTGTTATGTGTAAACACAATTCTTTAATGTCATACCATCCTCATATATACTTCTTCTTCTCCTGCTAGCAGCTACCGGACATCCTAGCCCTACAAAGACAAGAAATGTGTGATTATAAGTCAAATTCAAATTATTTCAAATCAGTACTCTTGATCTAGTTGATTCAATAATAGCAAAAACCACAAAATGATAAATAAAAATGTTCAACCATGTATATAGTAATTACAAGCTGCCTGCATTATGTGGGACAACCTTGCATTTCAAAGTCATTTTACATAAAACATGCATTTTGCAAAACCTATGAGTATAATCAATTCTGGCAAAGACAAGCCAATATATTATATAGCAGTCTGGTCTGTCACAGGATCCAGATTCACAACTTCAATATGAACAGTAATAAAAAAAAAAACATTGAAAAAATAAAAACTATTTACTAGTAAAATTTATTAAAATGTTAATGTTAGGATCTTTGACTTTTAAAGTTTAGATGAGTGGTGACTTGTATCTATACTAGGTCTGCATACTTCAACCTTTAAAATACTACTCCTTACCTTCCCTTCTTTGGACATTTATGTTTGCATTTGTTATAACAGTGATGCCAGCTCGCTCAAAGACGTCCGCAGTGCTACTACCGCCTCCAGGACCACACCCAAGATCAAAACCTTGCATTTTCTTGAACAGCTTGGAGACAAACGAAGTATAATAAAAATACATTATTACCACCACAACAATCACCACCAAAACAATCACAATCAAAACTAAGCCTATCTCCAATATCTTAACCTTCACCCCAACCTATCCCCGTTTAGTTACCATTCTTAACCATCACCACCCTCAATACCACTACCACCATCATTCTCATTACTATTATTGAAACAACCTCCACCACCTACAATTACCATCATCAAAGCTGTCAACACCACAACACAAACCCATCATAAATACGTCCCAAGATACATTTTGATTTCATGTGCCACTTACTTTTTCTTTGCTCAATCGTTCATAATTCTCCAAATTATAAACAGATTTATCAACTGCAATTAGACCCACACGCGTTGACGGTTTACCATCTACGAGGAATGTAATATTCTTTGCTGGTTTGAAGCTATCTGCTTTTTGGGATGTTGACGGATCTATCACAGATATGCTAACCTACAAGTTCACAGACAACAGTTCAAAAGTTAAGCAGATAATGTTCCAAAGTTTAGCAGATGATGTTCAAAAATTCAAAGTGAAGCAGACAACACTCAAAAGTTAACCAGACAACATTAAGAAGTGAAGCAGACAACACTCAAAAGTTAACCAGACAACATTAAGAAGCGAAGCAGACAACACTCAAAAGTTAACCAGACAACATTAAGAAGTGAAGCGCAGACAATTATACTCAAAAGTTAAACAGACAAAATGCAAAAGCTGAATGTATAATCTTGACAACTTACTGTATTTTCACAAACATTTTCAACTTCAAGCAAAATAGAATCTGCTACGACCTCTTGGTTCTCATCAATGTAGAATGCAACGATACGTACAAGCGGCACAAGGTCATTCGTAACGAAGATAGGGAAGTACACAACCGTATTTAACACACCCTCAACAGTATTTTCTGCTATCACTTTGTTTCTGGCAATAACCTGAAATGACATACAGGGGTGTGATATAAATAGGTAATTGCCTCGGTCTGAATAAAGGTTGGGAGCTATGGTAACATGAAAAGTTTAGCATAATGCCTGACATCTTAGTAACATTTATTATAATGCCTCCATGTATAAGGGTGGTTTGGTTTTATGTGTTGTCAGTATGTGTGCCTATAGAAAAAGCGCTGAATTTATTCCATGTGCATTCAAACGATCAAACTGTGCTGGATTTCATGCTCCATGCACACGGCACTTGTAGATAGTGTTGCACACGTCCTTAACAAAACATATGGAAGTTAAAATTTATCCTATTTATTAAGCTAAATTAAAAATTGTCAAGTCACATTTTGAAATTACATTTACCTTGAATTTTGGAGATCAGTGCTCAAAATTTTTACAAAAACATAATTATTAATAACTCATTATTTTTGTATTCCTTTAACATCTGTTGTGGCAAGTACTTAACTTGCACAACAGGATGGAATGATCCTTTACAATTTAAGTCTTCTTTGTAGTCATGAAGAAAACCCTGCTGTCACAGGGTTTGAAACTTAGACCATGGAATTAGAAGGAAAGTACCAGCCGTCCAATTCCACTCTAATGATTTTTAATATTTTATTGTAGATGTTATATATTGGAAATAGTTTTAAATAACTTTTTCCTATCTTTTTTTTTCCATTTCACTGATGTTTAAACAACAACAATAAAATACTAACACAAACATTGTAAACCTAAATCTTGAAGTAAGATTATTTCTGTATCTGTGATTGATATTCTCAATTTTTATACAGATTGTGTACAAAGATTTGGGGTATTTTTGATGGTCTCTATTCTACTAACTTTGTACCTGAAGTGAATAAAATGACAAGTGTTTAACATTCGGAAACAAAGAAACAAAAAAAAATCAGCCGAAACAGATGAACAAATGTTGTGTAAAAAGTATTATAACAAATTTTGTTCTAATGTTGTTTTAAAACATGTACATCTTATCTAATAATCTTGAATCTCAAATCTCCCTGGTAAACTGTCACAAATTCGGAAAGTTGCCAGACAGAGAAAAAAAACCTAAAAATATCTAGCTGTCTACTTTTTTCATAAGAATGAAAAAAAATCAATCATGTTTTATAAACCTATGAAGCCTGTATGACAATCTAAAAAAAAAACCCCACTAAAAATTAAAATAAATCATTAAACTTTCATTTAAAAGAATAAAAGATCAAATAATCAAGTTATTAACTTGAATTTTATTTCAATTATTTCCAAGCAAACAGAAATACACCACAAAATTTTTAATGAAACACAAATCCAAACATTTAACTTTTTGCACACTTATCCCAAGAAAATGTTTTGATTTATTAACAGCAAAGTTACTTGATCTGTGCAAAGAACAGAGGAACGGTAGTTTTTATGCACTTTTTAATTGGCAAGGAAATAATTTTCTTGTTCTGAATTCCAACTAAAATCTAATAACAGGTTTATGTCTCGCCAGAGATACCTTTTTTATACAACTGTAAGGGAACTTTGTTGTTGAAGAGCTGTGTTTCTCATGACCATCCTAATGCTCCAAATGTTCATATATTCAAGTACTGTAACTCTACTGTTATTTTTATTAAATTAAATTTAAATTATATATTTACATTATTTATTTTCTTCAAATATACACAATTTAAATATGGAATCTTGTTCAGATTTAATAGGTAAACACAGACTAAAAATTTTTAACTGAGTAGAAAGTGCATAAGGTGATTTATTTATATTAGTATTTGGCTATGTGATCATCTGGCTTTTATTACACTGGCTTCCTGTGTATAACAAGCTCATGCTTTCTATCATTACCCACAGTCCCCACCTGATGGTCACATGACCCAGACAGTTAACAAAGTTCCTTTCTTTTACTCCATTTAAGTTGACCTATGCAGAGTCAGAAATGTCCAAGGTTCTTCCTCCCCATGGATTGTGGGGTTTTCATCAGGGTAACATTATTGAGATTAAATAACATTACTGAATGTGTTATGTGTATATGTGATCTTATTATAGAATAAGGCTTTCTTATGAATCTGTTGTTTTTGAAGTTTAAATATGCATTACAAATATAATAATGTTATGTTGGTCTTAGATAGCATAAATGGGATGACCTCTATGCACCTCATATTATTTTACCCCCGGTCATTTAATCAAATACATATGGAACATGTTTTCTGAGATTCCTGGGGGAGTAATCCATAATGTAATCAATGCAATGACATTCATACCTATCAGGTGCACACCTTATACTCCTAAGAGATGAAAAACAACATATACGATTGACCACAATAAAACTCGACCCCAGAATCTTCTAATTGGAAGCCTGGTGCTTTACACCACAACAACATTCCACAATATACTGAGCCAGAGTAATTCTGTTTCTCACTGTGTGTCTTGTAAAGACGTGCAAGCACCCCACCAGTTACCAATACAATTAATGAAATTGACAAACACACCAATTGTGAGTGCAAAACACTGTAGATATATTTTTCTACCTCATGTGAGTTTCCAAGCCTATTTTCTCTTTACAAGAAAATTTCTCATTATGTATATTTTCATTTTAGGTGAGAAGTCGTAACCTAGTTGTTAAGGTAATTCTCCTCAAAAGTCCCAGGGTCCTGGGTACAAATCCAATGTAAATGCCAAGTGTTGCACACTATGACATAAACAACTCTAATCCCCAAGCAGTTTATAGGGAATTGGACAATTTCTTTGCATCCTTTAAATTCTTAGTTACGTGCTGCTGAATGAAAATAACAAATGCAAGTTGACTACAGTACTTACGATGTAATGGATGACACGTTCAACCGTATTGGAGTCGGACAAAATAACTTGAGCCTGTAACTCACTTCCCACATCGACCTGGAGAGACAGCGAGAAAAACAAAATACATTGTATTGTAATACAATGATGAAGAAGATTTATCATTTATTGACAAAAATTTTAAAAAAGAGAGAAAAATTACTGATTATTATGAAATATAATTATGAAAATCCTATGATAAATAACAATAAAGAATAAAGAAATAATGGGCGATACTATTAATTTTTAGGGGTGTCTTTCTGCATGAATATATAGGTAAGTTATCCCAAATGTACATAGACTGTTGTAACTTACCCTAACTTTGTCCATGTCCTCATGAGGTATTCGTATCAGCATGTAATTTTGGTTTGGGGATTCATATGGACGTGCCTCAAATTGGATGAAGCCATTTTGATCGTTCTTCAAATGTTTATCTTCAGTTTTCAACTGCAATGAAAAAATTTACACTGAAGCAACTTTTATAATAATAATAATAATAATAATAATAATAATAATAATAATATGTAGATTCATGAATGCAAAGTAAACCAAAAAAGCAAGGTGAAAGTAATTATAATCAGAATTACAGGTATTCTATATCAATAAGCATTAAGAAGTATATGATATATATTTTTTATGTTTTTTTATACATGTATTCTATTGTCCTTAAGGTTTTATAATAACAAGCAGGTCGATTTCTTCTTTGGAGACAATAAATTTCTGAAGACAATGAGTTCTGAATACAGGTGTTATTATTACTAGTTTTCCAGGTGCTATTATGAAAGAATCCAGATGTCTCGCTTTCTAGATCGATGTGTCCTGCTTTTAAATATTCTGGAGATAGACGGTCAGTATATTACTATTAGTGCCAGAATAACCCATTAGTAAATAATATAAAAATAATTCTCTAGAGACAAAGGCAATTTCTTCATGCACTATAACTTCTTACGGCACTGAAGCACTTACTGCGTCGTACGACCTCGTACGACGAATCTAACTGCACTCAATGTGAGCACTAGATGCCGTCTGCTGATTGCCGGTGGCAGTCTGAACCAATCTTCATTAAAAATGATCCGTTGCGGCGTGTTGTCACGTAGAATTCTTTATTGAATTGCGTCGGCTGACGACTGCCGGCCGCAGGGAGTGCCTAGCTCTAAGGACAGTGTTGAATTAATGCCGGGATAACTAGTATCAGAACTGATAACCTACGTACCTTGACTGATATTTCGTCAGCATCAAGTGGGATTGAGTATGCGAAAGTTATCTGACTGTTAAGATTCGTCATTTGATGTTCTACGTTATCCGTCTCCCCAATCAATTTGACCCTTGTGCCATTAATAATAGCAGTACCTTCTGCACAAACAATAATCCCATCTCCTGCAGGGAGACCGTTAGGGGTGAGGACATCAGCCTTGAAGAAGAGAAAGAAAAATTGTATGTAAAATTGACAAGAGTGACAGATATTAAAGTTTTTGTAGGCTAACTTGATCTGCCAGCATTACAAATTTTGTTGATCCATAGACGAATCAGATCCAAGATTGTTGAATAAGTAATAATAATTTAAATGTAAATTAATTTCATTAATCTTGAGGGACAATAACATATTTTTGGCTTAATGAAAACATTCAAATAAAACATTTGAAAATGGAGCAAATAAATTTTAAAGATTTTAGCCAGTTCACAGCCATGGACGATGCCTACATGTTTTCAAGTGTATTGAAGATATTCAACTATATGCTATTGATTTTCAGAAAGGACCTATGGCGCTATGGAATTCTTTCAAAATACAGTAGTGCAATATAAATGATAGATAGATGTACATTCACAGACTGATCTTCGATATGAATTATGTACATTTGTTTTATTATATAATTTAAAACCGATATTTTATCATAGTTAAATTTTTTCAGCTTTTGGCTGCTCTGATTAAATAAATAAAAAATACAAAAATAAGTAATTGTCATAAAAGTCATACAATACCTTAACTTCAAACGGTAAACCCCTCTTAAAGAAGCGCAATGTCTTGTCTGCTTGGAAATGGTAGGCTTGTTGCACAATTGGACAACTAGCTGATTTCTTCTCAATTATCCCAGTTGAGCCCTCAACAACACGTGCTTCGAGGTAAAGCAGCATTCCAACGTAGAGTTCAAACCAGTTAGTTTCTAGGATATCGTCTAAATCAATAGCTTTTATAGCGCGACCAGCATCTGAAAGCTAGAGAGTATTGAACAGTTTTAGAGTTATCTATTTATTGGATAGAATTAGATTGGATTTATTCAGTGTAAACACCAAGGATAGCCCACAAAAGTCTAGAAGAAGACTTATTTCCAGTGGGGTCCTTCTGGTTGTGATTGGGCAGTACACTGGAAGACAATCCCCTACTCTTTTCCAAAGAGTGTACTGCGTTCTTTAACGTGCACATGGGCCATTAATGCACACGCGACCAATGGCTTGATGTCTCATCCGAAAGACAGTGCGCTATGGTAACTTGTATTTCAGCCCTCCAGCTGAAACAGAAAGAGAGGCAGTGATGGGAATTGAACCAGGGATTATTTTCCCAATTTCAATGTTAAAACAACACTTTTTAATGATTTTATGTTAGTTTCTACATGAGAAATTCCTGAAATCATAAACTTTGAAGGCTGATTTCTCATATATTGTTCTTCAAACAGCTGTACGCTTAAATGCTTGTAACTTCGGAAGGAAATGTCGGATTTTAATGATTTTTTTACCATTTTATAGCTCTTATTCAAAATCAATTTTTGCGACGAGTGACTGGTTTGGCTTGTCTTTGCCACAATTTAAGAAAAGTAATTCATACATTATACACACAAGTTAATTTTATCATGATCTATTCATTTGTTTTTTGCATAATTTTGCTAACAACAGAAAGACAGACAAACATAATTGAATACATAACCTCTTGGGTGGAGTTAATAAGAATTGAAACTATGACTACTTGGGTGAAAATAAAATTATAAAAGTTGCAAGAAAGGAATAAGAAATAACTAAGTAGGAAAATGAAAATTTAGTATTCAACATCCTCTTTTAATATACAGGAAATTTTGCATACACGCATAAACATTGCACAATATTGAAAACCTTGACACAACACATTATAGAACACGAACATGATTCTTAAAATTATGCGTCATTCAACGGTGTTGTTACAACCTACAGCGGCCTATAAAGTCTGTCTCCATAAACAAAATAATTCACTACTTTAAAAAATAACAATGTTCTTGACCTATTGAGACAAAATTAATAGCCAATGATAGATGACAACCTTATGTTATATTATGCATTTAACCAATAAGTTTGTTCAGAACTATAAAAACTATGAACTACTTATTAACATTCTCACATCTGCTATTATTCTATTGACAATGTTCTGGATAATGATAATATTCATCTGTTATTGACTAGAACATTCACTTGTGCTTTTTCCCATGATATTGTTTCAACATAAAAGAAACCTTGGTGTTATGTTGTGTATGTTTATAAACATTTCCGATTGCCACACTGAGGATGAGAAACAGGTGGACACTTTTCTGTGTTGTGTGAATGCAAAAAAACCTATCTATTATCATTAGAGAAAGAACCATCTCCTATAAATAATATATTTCAGTGGCACATCTAAAAATTTGATTTTTACAGATGAAAGGGGAAGACTACCTCATGTATTACAAAGGAAAATAAAGGAAAGAAAATAAATAAATAGAAATAGAAAGATAAAAAATGAAAAGGAAAAAAGAGAAGGTAAGGAAAGAAATTACAGGGAGGTAAAGCAAAAGAGAGACAGGAGGTAGGAATGAAAAATGAGAGGAAAAGGGAAGAAAAGACATGAAAAAAGGAAAAGAAAGGTAAGTTAGGCAATAAGGACAAGAAAAGAAATATTTAAAAATTAATTACAGTCTAATACTAATGTATATTTCAGCCTGTAAATTTATGAAAGATAGTGAACAGATTTTTGTTTGTGCTTTTGCCCATTCTTTATCAGGGTAAGCTATTTTGCTTTAATATAATATCATAATTTCATTTCATAAGTTCATAATTTATAGACTTTCCCTGAGTCAAAATTATGAAACTTAAAATAACTTGAACAAAATCAATGTTTTAACAAGTTAAGTACAGTTATTGCAGGTGAAAATTTCTTCATAATCCAAATGCAAATTTGTTTGCAGATTATAATAATCTACTGTATTAGAAGACAAATTTAATTATATAAACAAGTTATAATTGTTTCAAATTATTAGAAAAACTATATGGTAATCTGAAATATCTGAACTGCTATATGGATAATATAATTATCATTATTTGTCAAAGTAGTAAACTATGAAATCAGTTTTTGCATTAACGGTAATGAAATATATAACAATTATGATAAAACTGTAAGTGTAACTGTACTATAAGTATGGGATCAGGAAGGACATCTAAAGGTTAAGTGGCTGACCTATATATTATACTTGCGCATTAAGTTCAATAAACTAAGAATACAATTATCATAAATTATATAAGAAAAGATACCTTGTTGATAATGATAAATAAGGACTGTTGCAGACATAGATTTGGAAAAGGTGGACAGGAGATATGCCATTAACGTAAAGGCCAACCCGATGCGATTTGTTGTTACGTCGGATCTGTGCGAGTTAAACGCAGACAAGATGAATCACGTCGGGCTGCATCGTACGACGCTCTCCGAGAAGCTAAGGTACCAGGGGAAAAGATAGAGAAAGTCTTCCCAATGCAGCTTGGTTTCTATTTTTATAATGCTACATTTGGGCCCCTAGCATAATATGAGTGACTGAATGTTATGAAATACTAGATTTTAATATCAAATAAGATTAATACAGATATCAAATAAATCATCATAACTTTCATCATACAGGTCCAAGACTACCATATTTAACTTTTATATGGCATAATGCCATATAGTTAGTATATGGATAAGATAAGTAGTAGGGGCTTCATGAGTAAAAACAACATCATAGAGACATCTTACTAATTGATTAGTGGGAGGTATTTCCCCTATGATTTATGTATCCTATTTCATACACAGTATGATATTAAAGGTATGTTTTTGAATCTTCGCAACAGCAGTTTAATAATACATACACACTCACTTTTAAAGACCAATGATTCTCCTACAATCTGATGCAATATTAATTTCGTATTGCATCAAACTCACTTAATAAAACAAATTTTTACTTCTGCAATGGAGTTTATGTATTCAACACTGTTTGTCGGCCTGTATGTTTCTTAGCAGGAGTACGCAAAAACTAAGAGAACACCATAACACTTCGTGGAGCAGTACATTTTGGTTTAAGAAATTCCAAATTTAGTTTTAGGGTGAAAAGTCGAGGTCACAAAAAGCTGAAAAAAGTCATAATGATAATGTGGTGCAGCACGCACTCAATCAACTGCCCACTATATATATATATTTTTTTTTTAGCAATATAGAACTGAATAAAATCAAAGGCAATAAGTGTTCAACCTGCTACCGCTTTACTCAAGCACCTGATGTGAAATCGTTTATCCAGGGGAATGAACCCAACTGGATTTCAAGAGATATAGCATCAAGGCCCATTTCACGAATGAAACAAGAGCATGTCCACCCATTGAGAAGTAAAGTAGATCATAAGACAACAATATTTATGATTCTGTATTTTCAATTTTTGGTCTTTTTTATCCGCTATGATTATTAGAAAATTAACAGTTATAGTTCCGTAACTTACAAATGATTATCCACTATGATTATTAGAAAATTATTAATAGTGTATAGTTCCATAACTTCAAAATGAGACACCTGATTAAAACCTACATTATTAAAGTAATGTAAATCTGTAGGCCTACTTTGAGTGACACATCCTCCATGATGAATAGATGAATTCCTTGAACACTCAAGTGTCCCTATCCTACTTACTTGGTTTCTAGAAAACGTTGTAGGCCTAAACCATAGAGATATAATAAGAATACTAGAGCGCTAACTGCAATGTATTCGATATTCGAAATACGCAGAGCTATGTGTGTGTACCATCGAAGATGGCTGCCATAGATTTAGCCAATCAAATTTCGCCTAAGCACCATCATTTGCAATTGCGCCCTCAATTTACACAGAAAGTTCAGTACAGCTAGTTACCTGTATGTTTGAAACTCGAGTGTTGAAGTGTATGGGTGTAATGTACACGATTTTAATTTTCATTGTTTTTTAATAAGATGCTCCACTTGGCCTCGTCTTGGCTATGATAGTTTAATAATTTGTTATTACCATTACTCATTATCATGAAATAATAGTCAGTCAGAGGGCTTAATTATGGTAATAATTATGTATACTAAACCTGAAGGTGGCGCTTTACTACGACGGCCATCTTGGATGGTACATATACATAACTCTGCATTGCTTCGCCATCTTGTCAGCACTCTTGTTGTTTAATAGCTCATGGCCTAACCAAGAGGCTGAACAGTAGGGCCGAGCACTAACTGCACCTGCTGTAGGTGGTTGGTGTTGTTTCATTAATAACCCTAACAATTAGATGAGACATTTTATTTTCTTGAATGGTTTGCCTAGACTGCTGCTGACAATCTGCAGAAAGCACCGCATGACCAAGAGCTCATGCTGTGTGGAGATGGATTTGCTGGCTGACACAGAGCGCATTCGGCTTAACACTTACCTCCCCAAAGTCAATTTCAGTATGGATCTTCACGATTATCTTGTCAATTGTTTGGATACCAATCTTGAGGCTAACACGGCCTTGGACTGTTTTTCCATATGCATACCTTCAGAAAGAAAATTTATGTTTAATTTGTATAAAAATTTGGTACGATTTGGTGTAGCATAATCTATAATACACATGGCAGCCGCATATGGGAGAGAAAAAAATATAAAAAACAAAAACACCAAATTTGATTTTTCTACATATGAGGCTTACCAATATCTATTTAACATTACGGTTCAGGTTTTTGATAAATCTTTTGCTGGACCCTTGATTTAGCACCATCTAAATTTCATGTAGAGGTTAAACTTCAAGAAAAAAATATAAGATTTTTTTTTTTTCCGATTTGATACATAGTTAATTAGTAATTAACATTCCTATGGAGCCACATTTATTAAATATTTGAAAGATGACAGATCTCACTAATATTAGCAAATGTACTGCGAGTATCTTGAGACGTCAATTTTCGTATTAACTCAAACTCAAGGATCAACAGATTGGCAGATTACCAGTGAAGAATAAGGAACATGTAGTTGCTTACTTGGAATCAATGCTTATAGGGATGTTTTCTGTGCCGGAAAGTATGTGGAGCGGTGACGATATTGTCACGCTAAATTTTGGCAAAACTTGGAAGAAAAAAAAAAACATCAAAATTATTGATTATTTCTGCAACAAAAACTATATTAGGGCACATAGAAAAAATGATTAAATTATCACTCTTTAAAAAAAAAAAGTGATGAGGCCAGGCGTTTTTTCTTTTTTTTTTTAAACAGAACAATAGAATATCACTTCTTTTTTTTTATCGATGAGGGAGGGAGTGTTTTTATTTGGCAAGAATATTGTATAATATTGTATAAAAAGTGGTTTAATTTTATTTTTTACTGTGTTTTAAACAAAAAGAATTTCCAGTCACAAAATTGCATTGTTTTCTTTATGCTGTTGAAATAAATGATGTGGCAAAAAAAAAATTTTCTTATATTGGAGCATCACTATTTCCCAAATTGTTGACGAGGGCGTGAGTGATAATCTAACAATTTTTTCTATGTGCCCTTATCAATAATGATATCATACCAACTTCATTGTCCAAAATTGGAAATTTATTCCTACAATAACAAGCATTGTACGTTTTAATTTAATTTCTATAGAAAGGGTAAATGAACGAGTATATAAGTAGAAATGCTGTATATCGTATCTCAAACTGACAAAAAAATCAATAAAAGCAAGTTAATTAAAGTAACATCACAACTTTTAAAATCTAATCATCTTTTAATGCAACTTTCTTTCTGGAATTGGATTTACATTTTTTCAAATATATAAAATACATATACAGCAGAAATATACAAACATCAACAATCAATCACAAAATAAATAGAAAAAGATACAGGGTAAAAAGGGCAATTATAATAATTTATTTAATTAAGTTAATTATTTAGTTTATAGCAAAACTAATTAAACATCAAACGGTTCACCAATCCACACTTCCTGCCGAAAATCACCGCAGAGAGTTAATGGTTAATGTGTAGCGATAATTACAATTATCGCCACAAACTTCTAATACCTAAGATTTTTTTCCTGTTTCCAGTTTTTTAATGACTCCTTTTTCACTTCTTGCACTCTCAATTTTAATATTACACCCATATATGGGTAAATCACAAGTATTTGTCAAATAAAACTTGATGGTGTGGCAGAACTTTCAACTTTTTTTATTTTGCTATATCACATTTTAAGATACTGTATGAATCATTCAACTGCATTCCTTCACATCAATATGTTACATAGCATAGGTATGAAATCAATTTATATACCAAAAATTTGTAAATTATACATTAATTTCAGAGCTATATTATCTATATTTATCATATTTGTATTACAAGTTTTATTATTATATATTTATACATTTATTATCAAGGCTTTAGTTCAATGATCTTATAATAAATCTATTTGTTTTACTTGATGCCTATGAATACCCCCGAGGGAGTGAGGGATGTTGTATGTTGAGTTTAGGCCAACTTTACTCTGCTGCTTTCATGGATTTTAAAATAAGTTAAAATAAGCTCTTAAAATAAATATATTATGACCACGCCTAAACATATTACATTTAAAGCCATGTTGTGATATTGCATTAGTCATGTTGTGAAAAACAAGACAGACATAAAATATTCAGATTTGAATTAAATTAGCTACAAACTGACTTCTGTACTTACCATGTTCTTTCACAGTGAAATGTGCCATTGTTTTAAATCGATACTGTAAGAAGGGAAAAGGCAAAAGCAATATTAATTTTATCTTGGACTTGATCTATAGAGATAATAATTACTAAAGTATTAAACTCTCATGCAATCTGAATTTTAACAAGGGACTGGAAGAATGAAATTAATTATTATACATCTCCCTCCAATTAAAGACAAATTTTGGGACATGGGGTTTTTTGGTCTTCTATTAGAAAAATTATTACCGGTAAATGAAAATAAAAGACAGACATTCATTTGGGGCAGAAGAAAGGTAATCTGTAATTGGAGGTGGTCTTAATTTGGAATGATCTTTAATTGGAAGGAGACTTGTACTTGCTTTTGTGCATAAAATATAACCACATGAATGAAATTGAGTTATGAAACATCCATTTGAAACACCTGTTCACCTTAGAAAAATGGAGTTCACCAATATTCATGTATTTAAAAAGTCCTAGTTTTTTTTAGATGTTCCTTATGCACCTGTTTTCTGTTAAAATAGAGTTGTAATTGTACATAAGATTTATTTTATGGCAGTGGGTTCCCTATGTAGAGTAAGTGTACTCTATGTCCATATCTAATAGCATACAAGACGAATGCAATTAAAAAATATTACATCAATTCTTATACTGTATGATATAACAGAAAAAAAAAATATTGACCTCAATTATGACCTTAACCTTTGACATGTATAAACATCAAGTGCCATGCTGACAAATTGAATTACGATGTTGAGGAAGAGATATATATAGATAAAGAGATATTGAATTAGTTGCAGTAAATCAAACTATGTAGACATCTCTGTATGACGTAAAATATTTCGATTTAAAACTAATGTAACATATCTTCTCCTACTTCATCTTAAAGTAGAAAGTGTCCCAAATGTTATATCTTGAGCCCAATTTTTTTTTTCTATGGTTGTTGGTCTTAAAGAATCTGAGATCATCTTCCTGTGGGACACCGGATGCACGGTAACCGCAAGTGTTCCCGCCAACTATAAGAAAATGTACTTCAACACGCAAAAGGTGTGAAACTATGTAAGGGCCACTTTAAAGAAACAGTCACCGTGAAATACAATAATTTCTCCACCATTGATTTAATTAGTTGAGAGGATCTGATGCTAAACACCTGTAGAGTGATATTAACAAATGATTCCGGTCTGACGCCTCTTTCGGTACCCTACTCGGACTTTGGCATGCAATGTTTCCTATCCAAAGAAACATCAATCCCATAGGATCTTCAAAACAGGAAGAGGATATATCATTCGTAATCATATCATTTTTTTTGTCCTTCGAACTTTGAGAAAATTTCTTTTGATGGACAAGATTTCTGAGTGCCACAGGCAAGAAATTTATAAAAAAAAATAACCATGTCATTATTATATTTTGTAGGTCTACCTAACAGATAAAAAGATGGGATTTTTTTTCGCACAATGCGCTGTTTGTAGCAGTTACAATAATAATATTGTATGATCTACATAGCAACCTAGGTTAAAGACCACTTCAGGCATTTAATAAGAACATAAAAGAAGTGAAAGAAGTAAATTATATAAACCAAAAGTCACAAACCGTTTAGAATCAATAACCCAATATATCATTGCACTGTTTTCCGGGTATTTATGGTGCAAAGTTGACAGCATGCCTCTAGCGTTCATTTTATAATATTTATGTTATACTATGTACAGTACATGTTAGTTTATGGGAAAGGTTATTCCTAAACTATAAGTACTTTCAACCAACTTTAATTAAGTTTGCACAATGAATGAGCTGAAAAACTATTCAGTATTTTATTTCCTTTGTGAAAATTTTTCACTCTCAGAAAATTTAGTATGTAGAGTTTGTTTTGATTAGGTTTGACTGTAATAATGTGACAAATGCCCTAGTACGGTATAATGAGAGTTAATGTAAAGGGTAAAAGAGCTTGATTCCTGCATGTTTGCCTACAGAAATGTTGAAAGATGGAACTCAGTAGGGAGGAAGACAGAGAATATTCTGAGAAATTGGAAAAAAAAAACAAAAGAAAAACCCAGTAATAAAAGTGATTAATTAAGTACTTTGATCCATAGGATAAAATTTAAAATAAACTAATGAAAATAATCTAATGAAATTAATTTAATAAAAAAAAAATACTGTAGATCTTTGTGTATACACGTAACCCCCCCTTCCCACTACTTACATCATAGACCCAGTTTATGATTTGAAAGAGTAGATCAGCGGACTACTACAATTGATTAGCTTTTAATTGTCCATGTTGCATTGGAAATTTGTCTTTTCATTGGGCAGCCCTATAAATTCCATTTTTTTTTTTTAGATGAACAGGGGATTCTCCGGGTAAAATCTGCTCCCCCCACCCACCAACCTCTGCCTAATTTCTTGTTTGAAGGGAGAGGCTCATACCCAAGGAACTAGGATACTTGTATTTTATGAAAATTTATGATGTGTACAATAAATTATAAGGTTGAGGTTGAAATTCCTGGGATTAATGACCTAGAAAAATCACAGTGTTATTCATGACGTCACAAGTTACAATGACATCACAGGTGCCCATGACATTAATTCACAGGTGCCATGACATCAAAGGTGGCCATGGTTTCACAGGTTTCTTTGTACCACATTGTACTACATGCTAAAAATCTCATCACATAAGCAGAAATACTAGTTTTTTTTAAAGCTCAAGTGGCAAATATTATTATCTTCATCCTTAAATGTCTGCTGATAATTAAATCATCCTGAAATCTTTAAGAACATGTGAAATGCCATACCTACATAAACCCAATAACTGGATCAACATTATAAAAGTCAGAAATTATTTTCTAAATGACTGTCTTGACACCACTACTGATTTTAATAATGATATCCCCTCCTTTAGTGATATTAAGTCAATTTATTTGAATTTTGTATATTTAATAGTAGGAAAACAAATTTAACCTCGAACATTCCATTGTATTGCACCAAACTGTAATGCTGTAAATGCTGACAATTAACAATAAAAAATTGAAAAGACCAGCAAATAATTTTTGATGGAAAGTGCTAGAAAGATTATATAGGCCTACTACAGTATATTGTAACTCATTCTAGTTAAAATGTTTTTGTTTTTTTTAAGTAGGCCTATGATAATCTTGTCATTCCATGATTGCTGGAGTATGGTATTATGGGTCACTGATCCTAGACCTCATCCAGTATGATCCTTCTCATGTGCCAAAATTTTTTTAATAGTCTAACCACAAATTCCTGGACAGGCTACTTAATTTCCCTCAGCTTTCTCAGAAGAATACAGTATCACATGACTGGTAGTAACATTCCTCCTGCAAACATACTGTATACTTACATTGGGATCTATTTCACAATACAGCATAGCAATGGCTAGCCCTCTGATTCAGCCATTAACAATCAAATAAAGATTTTTATAGACTTATTTCCAATTGCAAAAATTTAGCCCTGGAAAGATCATGAACACTAGATAACAATTATCTGGGATTCCTACAGTATATTCCCTGGATGGGATTTCCCTGACTGAGGAAATTGCCCTGATAGGAAACTGTTTTCTGATCCTAATAGTTCAATTGGTGTCACGTTCAAGTTCAAGTTTGAACAGGTCTACTCACTAGAGTATCTGTTAGTTACTTTTTGCTACTACTGTTTATAATTATTTCTTAATTACATTATAAATAATTATTATTAGGAATTTCATACAATTTAATATAATTTTTATTGCCTTTTTTTGAACAGCAATACTCACGTCAGACAATTTGATGTCTCCCTTATGGAAAAATGATTATATTGTTGGACATTTGGGGTCAAATATCACCAAATCTATCAGCCAGCTCAAGTTTACAGTGCAGTAAGATGGTGATATGGAGGTCATATTTAATTCATCACAATTATTTTGTATTTCTACGTGACATATTATATCCATCATTTATTAACTTACCCTTGGGCCGTAATATACAATCACGCTCCATTTTCCAAAGACCGGATGAGCAGGAAATCTGAACTTTTTACGAATGAGCCCGGACTCAGTAATGTTGCCTTCTTCTCTTTCCATTATCGTTCCTTTAGGATTGATCACATCAATCCGGATCTGAATAAACAAGAAATATTATTTAAAGGACTAGTCAGATCATCATATTACTGTATTATTAATCTTGTTAAGCTTAGACTAGAAGATTTGGTTCCTTCGACCACTTCTGCTTCTTTAGTAGAGAGGTAGTCTTTTCATATGTTTTATACTTGTATGTACATGTTTCTTGTACATAAGGAATACTTTATTTTATTTGTATGTACATGTTTCTTGTACATAAGGAAAACTTAGACACACCACTGAACACACTAAAAAACTGTATCTGATTACTTGAAGCATGTGACTTAGACATGGTGCAAACAATTTTGAATGGAAAACTGGTATTTTTAACCAATCATCTTGAGGCTTTTATGATAATCTTAGAAGGATTTTTGACTTTATTGAGGAGTGTGGTTAATAGCCCTTTATAACTGCAAAAATAAGCATTATACAAGCAGAAAGTACTGTAAGATTTAATTACGTAAGATAGTTAGTCACTAAAGTTCAGAGACATATGGAGCTGGTAGTATGTGGAAAACATTTTAATTTTCCCTAAACAACATTATGAGGTATTGTCAAATTTCAAGATTTATCTTTTATGGTAATTTTCCAGGTGATTCTAAAGTTTTAGTTACGCAATATAATCTGTTCACTCCATGTTCTCAAATCAAACCATTAAACTTTTGACTTAGTTCTAGGCATGTTCTGTATCTATGTGTTACAGGTAACTAACCATCTATGATTTGAACTTCAATTGCCGACAGTTAACATTCTTCGGCCAGTGGTATGCCAGTTACTGGATAAGCTTACATAAAAAACCAACTGTGATTTTGGAAGCATTAAATATAAATGCCACTATGTATACATACTAGAAATCGCAAATTGTGAGTGAAGTGCTGCGAAGTACAACTGCATATAAATGTTCTTCGAACAAAATTATTTATGCGAGTCAAGTGAAAATAATGAATAATAAAAATATAACAAATAATATGAGACACGACCCATTGTCTATATTAGAACACTTCTCATTGGGTAACAAAGTCGTAATTTTTCATTTTTGTCAAAAAGTGTCTGTAGTGGTGAATTATGGTTTAGGTTTTTTTAAATAAAGTTTCAAAAATTTCTATGTAAAATGTAGTTGATTACCAAAGGTTACAATTTTTATTTTGAAGACTGCATGGTCTAGGAAGTGTACATTTTTTTATGGGGCAAGTTTCCAAGGGCGGGTTTTCTAGGGGTGAGTTGACTGCCAAAGAGTGTTGCCAAAGTGCGAGCCAGCGTGTTATTTGATCACAAGTGCGAGACATCACAAATGTGAGCCAGCGAGCCATGACGTCACGAAAATAGATACGAAACGTTAACGACTTGTGCGAGGTATCGGCTGAGATTTGTGGAGTACAATTCAAAAAACAACTATAGGTCTAATAATGAATTATTGTGATGTTAAATAGACAATGTTAGCTATCAAAGTTGTTTTTCATTGGGACCTTCGTCCCTTCAAGGCTAGGCCTATACCATCCTAGCTAGTCTAGGCCTAGAGTAGGATAAGGCTAGTGCGACATGCGGACTTTGGTACGAGTAGGTTAGTCTACAAATGTCGCCTAAAGTAATTGATTTTACCCGGCAGAACGAAAGAGGGAAACTCCGCTTTTTACTAGTCGTCTTAGCCCGTTGTTTTTTGACAAACAATGACCTTTCAGAGGTCAAATTGCTGTCAAGAATATGAATATAGGGAGTACAAAACCTCAGACTACATTGTATAGCTTTAATTACACCTTTAGAATATCCTATAATAACTGTTTCTTCCAGGAACTTTTTTAATGGCATATCTGTACATGACAATACAATATATTTTACTGTCATCAATGCATACTAAGAGGTAAGTAATAATAGCAAACTATGAGGTAGGGTAATTCCTGTTGTATGACGAAAGTTTGAATATGCCAGTTTTGCATTTGTTGTCGCAATTTTTACATTATAAAAATGGTATTCACCATATTTCCGTGTCAAGTCAATCCCATGTAAGGAGCCAACAGAGAAATGAAATAATAATCAACTAAAAGGAAACAACGTGGACGTAAATAAAATAAAAAATGGGAACCAACAAAAGGTTTTAAAAAAATGTTTCAAGTTCATCCTCATCCATTCGTTCATCCCTCATCCATGTATGTTGGGATATTATTTTTGTTGGCACATGAAAAGTAACCTTCAAGTAATAATCTTCAGGAGGCATGTGGTACATCTCCGAAATTATAAGGTAACAGTCAGTGGCGTATCTAGAGATCTTGCGAGTTCTGAATCAAGGTTTCGGGGCCGGGATTACAAGGTAGGACAAATACTGGACAATTACTTAAATATATAAAAATGGTAGAAACTATCCCCTGTCGGACACCATCCTGGTATTTCTAAATCAAGGTTTCGGGGCCAGGATTATAATTTATAAAGTAACTATACAAAATTAAAATTATTGGAACTCGGAGAATACAAGGGGCATGTTAAAGAGGATTATATATTAAAACATCTGAAAACTTATTTATTAGTGGGCCATCTGCCGATTGAGATTATGATTATTGATGGATGTCATGCAAACTCAGATGAGAACGTGCTAAAGGTGCAAATTGCCACTTATTCAAAATTAGGAGGGGTGCTTATTCAAATGGGGCACTTAAGAAAATATTCACGTTTGGTGGGTTGCTTATTCAAACAGGGCGTATAGAAAATAAAGGTGCAGATTATATTATTAATATATATATTATTATTAAATTATCAGGAGTTTTGAACTAGTACCAGCTATGACTTTCACTAGGTGTTTCTGGACAAAGAACTTTACCTAGTTCTCTATCCATCCAGGAACAAGTACCTGGTAGAATTGAAAGGTTTGCTATTTTGTATTCAACAACAAGGGTTGTCATTACATACTGTAATCTGTAACTCAAAACATGTTTTTAGATAGTGCACTTTTAGTACTGAGTTAATATATTACCTTTATAATTACCTTTTATTTATTTGTTTCTCATTTTAACTTGACCGTTGAAAGTGTCTAATAAAGGTCAAATGAAATTCACCCAACAAAATTTCTGTCACGTTTTTTTTTTAAGTCTGCTTACATCAGAGTTCACTACTGTACATTTTAAGTTAGAATTCTATCAAACAGCGTCTTGAAATCCCTGAAGAAATTTAATCTACCCAGCCTACAGGCTCTGCCTTGCAACAGTATATTATTAAAATGAGATCATGAAACAAGGTACAGTATAATTTTCGCACATGTCAAGCTGTTTAGTGTTTTCCAAGCAGAAGTAAAGCGATAACATAAAAATGTGTTGTTGTATAAGTTCATCTGAACCTCTTGGGGGCTTCCCATATTGTAAGTTAAACGTAAATTTGACCATAATGAGGTTTAATAACTAAACTAGAGTGGGTGTGCAGGAAGTCTATATTCAGTGTAGTTAAAGAGAAATTCTCACATGTTAATGTCACTAAAAAAACCTTACATTTGTGGTTTGCTACTAATCGTTTTAAATAGTGGGGTCCAAAAAAGCTTTTTAGGTTCCAAGCCATCCATGAGAGGGGAAGAGGCCTCTATGCAACCTAGGTAATTTGCTAAGATATTTTATTCTAGTTATATTATATTATTATACTATAATATAATAATTATCTAAAAACATCAATTTTACAGAATGGCAGGTCACTTGATGTACACCGTTAAGATTCCAGTTCATTCGCAGTACAACCATGTAATCAAAAGTTGCAGCTAGCGCATCATCTACTGTACTACTTAAAAGTTATGTGATTGTGAGTTAGGTCTAAAATTGGAACCACCTTCTGCTTTTATTGTACTGTAGTTATCAGCATTTAAACAGCTGAATTTAAATTATTTCAATGCATTTTAGATCACATCAAATGTTCTAGAAAATCCCTGAAAGATAAAATTGTGACATTTTAAGGTCATAAAAATTAAAGGGTTTACATGCGTCTACATCAAGTCCCCAATCATCCTGTTGAAATATTAACATCCTTAGAACAACATTCCTTAATTGATAATTGATTGAGCATGAGATTTTTTTTCTGTTTTAAGCTCATCTCAGTGGAATTCTGTTTATGATTCAACTAATTTGAAAACGTTACTTATTTCGAGAATGATGTTAACTTCGCATGGTGCTTTCGATAAATATAAAACTGCGCTTCTGTTTTTTATTAATTACCTAAAATCTAGACACATACATTGCAACTAATGGTTTACTACACTCAACTATGAAACCACATTAAGGGAATGCTATGTTAAATTATATTTATTGCAACGAAGTGGTACTTTAGTAGTATTACACAATTTGGCTTCATATAGTTTAATCAAAATGAAATTTTGACATTTATTTTTTAAATATACAGTATTTTTTTACTTTGTAATTCTTTTATTTTACATTTTAGAATTTTGCCCATGCAGAGACAGTTCATTGATCATTGATCCAAGTGTGTAGTGTATAAACACATTCTCAGGAAAGTTTTTAACCAAATCGTGCCATTTGCTTTCTTGGGGGCGCCAATCTGGTTGTTGTTCCAGGTAATGATATGCTGAGAGAAACCTATCACCGTTCGGCTTGAGCTAAATTGGCCGAGAGAAGTGTTAACAGGTTGTTCACACTGGATTTTTAAAAAGTCAAACTAACCAGGTACAGCAGGATTGACTGAAAAATGTCCATCTGAACAGAGATATTCACTCAGAGATAACACTCAGCACCTTTGATTACTCAATTTGGAATTGGTGCTATATAAATATTTGAGTATTAGTATTATTATTATTAACTATGGCTATTACAATCTTATGTCTTAAATTACTTACTGGTTCTGTTGAAGGTTTTAAGTCCAATCCAACTGGTATAATTTGCATATTAACAGTTTGTTGTGGATTGTAGATTGGTTTATCCACTTGTATAAAAACAAAGGTACTGTTGTATGTAACGAGTACCTCTTTGCCTTGCCGGAACGGTATGTCCAGTTGACTAGACGTTGATTCAACGAACAGATACGCATATTGGCTTTCAAGGGTTAAACTTGGTATGTCATCAAACCTCAAGCCTATTAATACTTTATGAGGCTTATCTGCAAGAAAAAAAAAAAAAAAAAATTTTAAGTACATGATAGCTTTCGAAATTAATTTAATATACATTTTTTTTCTTCCATTTTAATGAAAGATTTAATTACTGTTTCTTTTATATCTTAATAATTGTATGTTTTTGAATGAATGAAACAATGAATGAAAAAAAGTCATTACAATAATAATATATGAAAAAACACAAAGTACATTATTACTGTACTTAGGAAAAGAATAATTACAACATTAATAAATATATTAAAATCAATAAGAGTAAGAGTAATAACAATAAGATTTTAATAATAAAAAAATACATTAAGAAAGTTGTTGAAAACTACAGCAATAATTAACACAACAACTTCTAGAAATCACTTCTCAAACACAGTATTTTTTTAGATTAATTTTTTTTTTCATCATTAAACATCAAAGGTTTATTGTTGCACAAAATACACACACAGCAAGTAATTTCATGGTGCCAAATACACTATACAATCACCTACACTACTTGTTATATGGTAAGTACTTCACTTGATTAAGAGGGTATACATCAAAAGATCAAATTTTAATGCCTGACATAGTTGATGTGGTGAAACTGACAGCAGAGCTGAATGAAAAGCTTTAGAAGTTCTTGCAAGAAAGAATAGGAAAGAAGAATGCAGCGTTGACATATTTTTCTTAAGATTGTAGATATGTTTCAATTGATTTAATTGTTGAAAATGAAACCTTAATTCCGACCTATATACAACAATGAACCAGTTACCCCAAATCTCATTACCTTTAATAAGCTCCTCACTTTAAAAATCTCAACAAAAGATAAAAATGGCATAAAATAAACCGTTAAAATGGATGACCGATCCTGTATTATAGCTTTTATAGAGTCATTGACATTCTCACTAAGCCGTTTTTCTCCATAAATATCTGTTAGATGTGTTTAAAAACTATTTTTGAATGGTTTTCTCTGGAATCATTGGTGGCTACTTCTCGAACAATGTTCTACTGTAGTAATTTAAAGTGTTCAACATTGAATGCAATATTGACAGCTATTGTAAATATTTTTACCTTTTCTCCACTGTGTCTATTTTGTTGAGAAATGGATTAAGGTTTGCCAAACCCATTAATGAATAATATCGCTTTTATCACATCAGTAACAAAATCAGTTGGTAGACCAGCAGACAATCCCCTACTCTTTTTTTTTACTACGTCTTTTTCATGTACAGCGAGCCACTCTGAACTAAGGGTGAACAGCTTATAATCTCAATCGAAGGATAAGGAATATAATTACACACTGTCATATGCACCGAAATATGTAACAAAGATAAAAGTATAATTCTTAAAAAAAAAAAGCTTTAAAATACAAGCCTACAATACAAAAGTGCTTCATTGTATCACTACGATATCAGTCTTGGATCCATGTCTATGCGTTGTTTGTAATTTTTTGAAATTTGCACATTTTCCATCAGTTCCATATGGGAGAAAAAAAAAAAACATGCTTATTCATTCTTAATTTCCATCTGGAATAAAGATCCTACGGATAACTATAAAGGCGTAATAGATAAGTTTGCTGAAATCTACAGGGATAGCTGCATCTGTGCTATTTTCAGTGGTATCTTATTTACGCGGATTGTTAACATCTGTTTAGAACAATCATCAGAAATTTGAATTCAAAACTTAAAGAGTGTTAATGCGCCACTGGTTACCGCAGACACGATGCAACACTTTGGGGAGTAGATTATGTAAGATGAGTTTGCCCAAAGCGCTTCCTACCTGAAAGAAAAAGCGCTGTATAAATGGCTGTAACATTTAACATTTACAAATACAAAAGTCAAACATACATTGCTATGGTTCAGTTGTAAATATAATGAGAACATTGAAACATGTGTTTTTTTTTTATTTAAAGGGGTTATTAAACTAGCTCTTATGAATGAATGTTAGATACGCATATTATAGTATTTGTGAAAAGTGTAATGAGGATTCATGTTGCTCATAGCAAAAAACAGGAAGTACAGCTCTGAACTTACTTTAACAGGTAGAAAGATTATTTATTTTAATTTTTTTTAACTTTCAAATTTTTTATTGAAAATCACCTAGGACTGAAACACAACTTGGACCACTTCACAGTCTTGTCAGCAATGCAAGTTGTGGTATCTAAGCATGGCCAGCCAAGATTGGTCAGCATGTAGTTTGACCACAAGGTCAATACCCAGAATGGAAATCACTAAAGCCAAATATTGCAGCCTGAGTCATGTCAAATGTTCTCATGTCAAATATTAGGTACAGTGGCCTATTTATCCAAAAGGTGGTATGCATAAACATGCAAATAAATTAAAGTGAAAAAAAAAAAAATTTTGCAATTCTAAAATGAATATATTCTAAAACTTATTGACTCTCTCGAAATCTTATATTTGTAGAAATCATTATAAATTATACAGAAATTGAAGACAAATGTGATATTTAGCATTGAGAGGTTGTGTGTTCATCTGGTTTCTGGGAAATCTATACTAATTAGCTACTGTACATACACACCTGTACCTTAATTATCCTCATTAACCTCTTAGTTTCTCAGATACCTTAGTAGTGCTGCAAAATATTTCTTGAGTTCTGTTGTTCTCCCCAAAGTATGGTTGCGGTTAAAAGGGGTTTCCTAACAAACATATTAAACTCTTAACCTTTAAGTAGTGCTCAAAATGAAAGAGCTCAAATAGTGAATACATAAAAAAACAAATACATCTGCTCTACCTGTCCCCTGTAGTTGTTTTGAAAGATATACTCTCAGTTGCAATATCTGAAGAAAGCTTAAAATTCAATTATAACATTGAAGTTGCCATTCAAAATTACTAAGCACTGTTTGCTTAATACTCTACTTCTAAAAGGTCCGAGATTTCAACTATCTGGTCTATAATTTAAAGCTTTTGATTTATTGACTACAACCAAAGAACCTATTTAGAAGAATATGCTCTTTGCATTATGCAAATGAAACATATTTGATGAAGTGGAGAAACTTATTGGAAACATACAAACAAAGATAACATGAAGGGCACCATCGTGGCGTTGGGGGACTGCGGAACCTGCATGTTGTTTCACTATTTTCGAGTCAGCTCTATCATCTCCATCTATGCTACACATTGTCAATGCTACCTCTGGCACCACCCACTTATTTGAACGAGTAGCTGTAATTACTCAATTAACAAATACAGGAAAATATCGGTTTGGAAGTGCTGTCCCTGTATTGCTTTATCATACTTACGGCATATGTAGGCTCAAGGCTATTAGGATTGTTACAACAAAATATTTACTATAACTTCACTAAAAACAATGCAAGTTGGGCCCATACCAGTGAAAATGGCATAATACAGGTAACATTTTACTCTATTCTGAATAGTGTATATTGTACAAGACACTTTTAGTTTTATTGTGCAAGGGGTTCATTATTACCACCAACATAATGAACAGGCGGACGAGTTTATATTAATAGTTAATTTAATAATTTATTTGAACGTACACTTTTGTAGTAGTGGCACACTGGTGGTGTGTTCAGAAACTACAAATACTAGAACTTAAGAAATAAATTACAAAGATCTTCAAGAAAACATAAACATAAAAGCAATATAAAAATGGAAGTAGCCTAAAACAAAACAAGGTAAAGTTAAAACTAAAAATTAAATAGTAAAATTATTGCTCATGCAACAACATTACAAGAATTTTGCCATTAACATTGTATATTTAAATAAATTTACAACATAACATAATTAACATTGGTATATTAGGCCAAGTAAAAAAAAAAAAACATGTTTCACGTCTGGCTTTTTTTTAAATTGAGGAAGCGGCCTTTTTTATTTTTTATTTTTCAAAATGGCCGCCATTCTACAGACTTGTTGACATTTCCCGTCTAGTTTTGTTCAACATATAAAATTTAGGAATCATTGTTACTTTATACTGTACAATCGGAATGTTCCCGATGTTACGTCTCAGACGTCTTCACATCTGACATAGAGGGCCAGTATAACGGGAAATTCCAGAATTCATCTGAAATCATCGGCCGTATTCGATTGGGACTTTCGTGCTCTGCTCAACGGAAACTGCTCAACGAAGTTAACGCTCGGAATTTATCGTTGAGTTTTGTACTCAACGGGATAACATACTCACTTTTAGAAGTATATATACGCTGTATAGTCCCAATCGAATACGGCAATTGTATGCATGACAAACGCGCTCTAGTGAAGTGAACTCGAGGTTTGCCGCCTGACGCCCAGAGTAGGCGACGGCCTAGGCCTAGCCTAGAGGTTTCAGGCTAGCCTAGGCCTAGCCTAGGTAGAGATATTGGGCTAGCCTAGGCATAGCTTTACTATACGAAAGGTTAGACGAAGATATTGCACTATTTTAGGCTAGGGTATTTATTTTCCAACATTTCATTCTAAATTTTCGATATATTTTTTCTTTATTTTCATGAATTTTCCAAAAATAAAAAAAAAATCAAGGCGGGCGAAAAAAACGATGCGGGCGGGGACGCGAAACATGTTTTTTTTTTTACTTGGCCTTAGGCCTTCATTTAGATCTTCATCCATAAAGCTTTACTTATTGCAATAAAGTTTCTTACAAAAGTCCAACAAGGGCAATTATAGTAATAGAATCACCAGCTTAATGACTTATCAGAAGGGCAAGGCAATTAAAATTGGTACTTAATTATTATCGGTACTAACTCTTTTATCTACAAGAGGCTTAAATTGAAATAAAGTGTTTACAAAGGACAAAAACAAAAACAGACAAGGGCAATTATCTTAATGGTCATCAGCTTAATGACTAATTAGGAGGATGGTTTAATATAGCCACTTAGGAAGTAGCTATTTTTACACTCAACCTAATTCTGGTTGAATGTTAATGCTCGAAATCACATTTAGATTAAATTAGAGCACGTTTCAGGCCATTTTGAGCATTTCAAAATTTTTTGAAATTTACCACTACGCGTGCGCATTTTTACGCGCGCAGCACGTATGGAAGCTAGAAATTAATTTTTTTGTCACATTTTGGGTTCCTGACATTGTTTTGACAAGTTTCCAATCTTTTCAATCACTCTATGGCCAATAACAATGCTGTACGCACACATCAAACATAGTGACCTTTGTGCACATTTGTGCCGATATACAGTGAAATTTTGCTAAAATCAGTACTAATTTTAAACAGTTACAGCTCTTTAGGATGAAAGGTGACACCCAATTTTATAACATATTCTGAAAGCACGAGTTGTAAATATGATTTTATAGGTGATAATGGCTGATCGGACATTATGACGTCATCATATTGCCATCTGAATTCAACAAACTGAATATTATCCATGACGTGATTTTAACAAATGCGCATTTGAGCGTATCTCGCTTATTCTTGATCGATTGTCTTCCAACTTTGAGTATGTTGTAGCTGAGGCAATTCTCTTTCATTATGTGACTTATTTTTACATTTTGATGACGTCATCATGGTCAACATATAGGGTTTTGCTTACCCCCCTCATCTTTCTTTCATCAAACCTTTGATGACCCCACAATCCCCTTAATCAGTCGTGATTTCTGAATCATATTTAATGGGCATAAACTTCAGGTAATGGTTAAATGTTATGTACTATAATTTCCTGTGCACGCGTCATAACGTGCGCGTACGCGTGTCAAAATTAAAATATGTTTTATATCATGTCTTTTTTTAATCAGTTATAGCTCCTTAGGATGAAAGGCGACCCCCAATATTTATTACATATTCTGAAAGCGCATGAGCTGTAGATAGAATTTTATATATCATAATAGCTGATCGGACATTGTGACGTCATCATATTGCCATCTGAAATCAAAAAACTGAATTTTTATATATGATAAATATTATGAATGATAATTACTCCCTCACTAATAAGCGTTTGTCAATGAAAGTTGATACATATATCTCATATCAGGAGACAACATTCTGTGACATTAACATGCGCACGTGCATCATGACGTGAACGTATGCATGAGTAAATCTTTTAAAATGGTCCAAATTATTTTTCAAAAAAATTGATTTAGCGTATATTTAAGCCATTTTCAGCATTTACATATTGTTCAATCCGCACCGCGCACACTTCCTCGCGGGTCAAAGTGCGGCGGATCATCCTCAGTGACGAGTTCAAATCTAGTTATTATTATTATTATTATTATTATTATTATTATTATTATTATGTACCACTACATAGATTGAAAGACTATTGACCGGCTAGGAATGCATGACTGGAACTATTACCTGGCTTTTGACCAATCAAATGCAGTTTATAAACAATAAAAAATATCAGTATTTATTATTATTTGTTTATCTTTTAGATTAGTGTTTAATTATGTTGTTATTGACACAATTCTTCATGAAATATTAAGATGCCTATGTAAAAGTTTTACAACAGTGTTTTACAAAAGCCACAAGAAAAAAAATGACATCGGCACGTTTCATAGCAAACTCTGCACACTCTTTACTAACAAATTTCTTTTCCAAGGCTATATTTATTAATCATCAAGAGAAAAAAAATGTAAACCTCTCTTGTAAGCCAGATCCTGGTAAACAACACTGATTTAAAAAAAAAAAATGATAAATAGATTTCAAGCTGTTGAATGTTTTATGGATCAGGTGTTTTGCAACGGGTCAATAATTGAATGCTCCAGTGGGCAGTAAATTGATTTCATAAATCTCCAAGTTCATGTTAGCTCTTCCATGATGGCTGTCAGGTGGCAAGTCAGCTTTTCCTCCATGGTCAGACTTATTATTAAAGTAAAACAATAACTTATTTAAGATACAGGCTTGTCATTGTGAATAAAATTGCTTATTATAAGGATCAAATAATAATGTCAACTTCTGATAAATCAAACTCTTTGATTAAGACATGGGTCTATCCTGATATCTTCTTTATGTGGTTTTATCTGGGGCCCTTGAGTATACAGATCCAAGTTCATGTAGCACTTTTATGATGGCCGTCAGGTGGAAAGTTAGACTATTTTTAAAGTAAAACAATAAATTATTTAAGATATAGGCCGTCATTGTGAATGCAATGAAGTATAGATTGCTTATTTACATGCATCAAATAATAATGTCAACTTCTAATTAATCAAACTCTTTGAATGAAGCATTTAAAATCTGTCCTAATTTCTTTCACAACTAGGATGTGGTTCTCCCTGGGACCCTTGGGTATAGTCCTTCTGGCTGAGGCGGTTCAACTCAGTTGGCAGAACAGACATTTAAAACATAATTAGATATTAAACTAAATATTAAGGTAATGGGGAAAAGAAAGAATCAATGTAAACTTTAATAAAAATATATAATCAATAACATTCAAATGATAATTTCAATTTTAAAACCATATTTTTATGTTTTATACATACCAGAGTTTATGTATTGATTATTAGTATTTACGAACATTCCATGCCATATCACTTACTCTAATATATACGTGACCCCTAATGAACTTGACAATTCTAGAATTTTATGAAGCATCTTCAGATTCTCCCATTTCTATTTATACTTTATAATGACGACAATTTTAGTCTCATATTTTACATTATTTTGAAACGTGATAAAGCACAAACGTAATGCACGGATGAATAAAATAGGCATGAGGTAGACATTGAAAAAGTTTTTTCATTTCAATTTGACTTGGATTATGAGAATAACATTTTTTTTAATGTATTCATTCTGATAAAATTTCAGCCAAATATGAGACGGTCACCTGGGGACCAATAGTCTATGATTTGGCAAGGAATGACTCATAATAATAAACTGCTCAGAGCTTCCTTCTCTATGAAGTTAAAACGTGTGTGTTCAACTCCAAAAATGTCTTGGATCATAGGCAAAATGGAGAACATGCAAGTTACAAAATATTATTTCTTCTGTTACTGGTATATTCTTGGATAATTTATGAATTGTCTGACAGTTATGAAAAAGCCATATAAGATTTTGTTACAAAAAACCCCAAGGGATGGACATTGGTGATCATACATAAATACATAAAAGCGCAGACCTCCATGATGGAACAATCAGACATATCAAAGAGCTGAAAAATGTAGGCTTTTTATGTGATTTTATTACTAGCATATTTTCTTCTCTATTTGAAGAATGTTTAGTATGTG